CTTTCTTTCCTTTTTTTTTTCTTCAAAGCTAACTACCTAATACCATTGCATCCAGGAATTCAGCTGGGATCTGGACAAAATCCTTTTAAAAGCTTGCTCGTTTTAACGTCTTTATTCAGTATTGTTCTCTTGTGTAGATTGTGGTATAGCTCCCTCCCTAAACATGTCAATTTATCAGTTGATGGTTCCCGAACCGTGAACCACCACATGTGTAGGATTAAACTTGTGCTGTTGACCTAGCTAGAACCCTATAATTTAGGGACAATGGCTCATCTCTTGTTACCTATATATAGCTAGTTATTATGTTTCTCTGAATCAACTTTCATCAGAACCACTCCTCTTTGTCGTTGCAATATTGACCTTTTGTTTATCAATATGCAAGTCTACTACCATGTAAATTGCCAAGTTCTACATGTGTCACATTATGCATCACATAGCGATTACAATAACTTAACATTTGTTTTTCTTAATCTGATTTTCAGGTAGAGGTGATGATAAATCATAGTTAGTGACTTAGCTTGCAGCAGTTCTTTCTTGCAGCTAAGACAAATAATAATTGGCGTTATGGCATATAGAAATACGGTATGCACTCCCCAAGTAATTGATCTAGAAACTGAACAAGGGCACTCTCATATTCATTCTGAAAGTTTTAATCGCACTGGGAATGATTCATCTGACCAAGGTGCACAACATGCTGTCAGAGGGGTAGGAAATGCTACAAACATTGGTCTATCTGATATGCGAAGTTACTATGATGCGGGCATGAACCATCCACATCAACCTGTTCATAACTTGCCTCCAAATTTAGGAGTTGATTCAGGTTTTGTCTTCCCATCCAGTATGTACAACCCCTGCATGTCGACAACATCTATGAACCAATATGTTTCTCACACTCAGAGCTTCGGATTGCCATCAAACCAAGTTGTTCTAGGAAGCATGGATGAAGGTAGCAGAAATGAAAATGCTGGTGAAAGTGCTAGAGGATTCATTAAAAGGAAAAATGCTGCAGTTGCAGGAAGTTACCACTGTGCTAATGGATTTGCAAGTTCAAGCTCTTCTCATGCATCTCTGAATCCTACACATAGGCCATGGGATCCTTCTTTTGAGTCAAATGTTTTGCCTAACACTGCATCATATAACCCATCAGAGTACCATAGCCAGACCAGTTGGCCATCTATGGAAGGATCTTCCATTCCCAGTAATGGCTTTAATTTGATGGGTGCTCACCCAGAATCAGCACAGCATGGTAATTATGCATTTCCAACTAGTCACATCAGCCAGTGCTTTCAACCTACTAGCAATACATGGATTTCCCAGTCTGCAAATGGTATTGCTGATGGAATACCACAGTGGGAATATGTCAATGGAATGAATAATGCTCCAGGTAACTTTTCGTTTGATCCTTAGATCGTCATCAATTTATTTCCTTCTTTCTAATGACTTGAATAGTTGTTCAATGTGCCTTGATGTCTGGACTAGTGGTTTAGCTTGCATGGTAAGAGTGGCGAAAATTTCAAAAAATGTCTCCACCTACAGAATGAACTTATGTGTTCACACTAGGAGTAATTGGAAACCTTTATGCTTTCAGCAGGCAGATTTTCCCGTTCAGGTATGACAGAAACAGTGAATGGAAGCTTCCGTGAATATCAGAATGGCCCTTCAACCTTATGTCGAGGGCCTTTACCCTATTTTCATCAGCATGCTGGCATGCATGCTCATAATCTGCTTGATCATACACAAGTGCAAGCTCCTTACCAACAATGCCACAATAATCCTGTCTTACATGGTGTAAATCATTCTGGCAACCGGTTCCATTTGGGTCCAAGGATTCCAGTTCTTTTCTCTAATTCTGAACGTACTTTTGGGCCTCCACATCATCCACTCTTGGCAAATCCAGTGAACCACAGAAATATACGAATCCTGCCACCTGAGGTTAGTTTGTACTTCACTTTGTGTCCCTATGATTTGCGATGTGCAATAATTATTTGGGTTGCTGGCTGTTTGACTTATTTGACAATTTTATCTGTGTAGTGAGCTCTCTTCCTGTTAGGGGAAAGTTTGAGACTCTTGTAGCAATTTGGCATATGAACCTGTACATTACTTCTTAAATGCCTTTGATGTGCTAACATCTATATTTTCACAAAACTACATACTTCAAATGAAGAAGATCAACCTTATACTTTCAAACTATTTCACGAAACTACTTCGTTAGTTCGCATTCTCTTTTAAAGTGTAGTTTTCTGAAATGCCATTCTTTGGTAGTTTTTGCATTAGTACTAGTAGTATAGTTTTATGATATCCACAGTCCACTTGACTCTAGCTCAATCCGCATTACATCCCTCAAATATCTGTTTGTCGAAAAAATACCCCTGAACAATGAAACTGGACATTTTACACCGAAACCGGTGAAAATACCCCCCCCCCCCCCCTGGGCGCGAAAGGCAATTCAACCCGGTTTTTATTGGTGGTTTTCATGATTTTAATATCCAAATAGTACCCTTTACTTGTATGCCACCTAGTTAGCAAGAGATGTAAAAAGTTGAATCTAAGTAAAAAAAATGATGTGAATATCATGAAAACCACTATTAAAACCAGGTTATATTGTTCTTTTTTTTTTGTTGGGGGGGGGGGATGGTATTTTGATCGATTTCGATCGTTACAGGGGTGTTAAAAATGTCAGGTTTCATAGTTGAGGGTATCTTTTAGACAAACCCGATAATATTGAGGGGTGTAATATGTTCACTTCTTTGTTATTGATTATTACTCAATCTACAGATATTGTTCTTTTACTTTCCACGAGCACTGGTGCAGGACTTTGACTATTTTTTGTCTTAATATACTGTCAATAATAATAAAACCATATTGTTTGGATCCCGGTGCGGCCTATATTTATATAGTGAATGTGATCTATTGAACCACTTAAGGAGTGTATGTTAGATAAGTTGAATTTTTTTTATACATGTATGTTTGTATGCTTAAGGGTTAGGTTTTTTGTTTTTTTGTTTTTTTTTACTGAGACAGTGGTTTTCAGCATTTACAGACATCACATTATCTATGTTAATGCATTTCTAGTCAAAGGAAACAGTACTTGTATATTTTTCATTTTATCTGCATGTTGAATTACTTCCTGTTTCCTGCTGCCATTAGTCCATTTGTTGGGAATTAAGACATATTTGCCCTTGGTTCAGGCTGTTCATATTGCAGTAGAATGTAGGTCACGTTAAACACCTTGCTCTTCAATTCTATATCACACACTCAAAATTGATATATTTTTTCTTCGGTGCTGCAGCATGCTACAATAATGGATTTTTCAAGATTGTATGAAGTGTCAAATGTTGTAGATGAGCATAGAGATATGCGGCTAGATATAGACAGCATGACATATGAGGTATGGATCCCAGCTTATTTAGGTCACCTTTCTTTAGTTCTGTCCACAGCAGGCTTTATCTGATTTATTCTTTTTATTTGCATTACAGGAGCTTTTAGCATTAGAAGAGCAGATTGGAGATGTAAATACTGGTCTGGCAAAAAGCTACATTGTAGAGAAATTGAAGACTAGCTTATTTGTGCCAGGATCATCCTGCATGTCTAATAAGTCTTCTGAATCTTCCATGGAGAATGATGCTTGCATAATATGCCAGGTCCTTCTCTTTCACTATTATTTTCAGATTAGTTTTGAAATATAATAGCTTATGCATTTCCTGGGACAACTAAACCTAGCTTTCGAACGGTCTGGACTTTACACTTTTGGATCCAAAGTTATGGTTAAAGCTTGCAGTGTGGAATTGGCTAGTGTTATATCATAGTAATATGCAACGTTCCATTTTATCACCCATAAAGTATGGTTCCAACAGGTGGGAAAACTTACAAGAGAATTGGTTTATGTAAGATGTACTATGATTTCTAAGTATGTGCAGTGTAAATTAGTATTTGCAAAGGTGGACAGGTCCACGGTGCTCAAATTGTATAAAGTTACTTGAGAGTACGTCTTGGTAAATATCATTCATGATTTCTTGTCAGGCGCTTAAGGAATTTGAATGGGTGTTAAGAGGGACAAGTGTGGGTTGCTAAAACAAGCCATAAGTTCCAATTGGGCTTAGAAAAACAAATACTATTGCACTGGTTCCTTATCTGCATTATCAGATTATGTAGTTTTCTCATCCACCAACATTTAGTCTAGTCAAATCGACATATCCTTGTTCTAAAAATCTTTTCTTGGTATTGCAGGAAGAGTATCAGGTTAAAGAATGCATTGGAACCCTTGACTGTGGCCACAGGTACCACGAAGATTGCATAAAACAATGGTTGATGGTAAAGAATTTATGCCCCATCTGCAAGACGACAGCTTTGTCAACCGGAAGAAGAAGTGGATAACGAACAGGAATAATCTTATTAGTTATTTACTTCCGACAAATATTCAGCTCAATTTTGTATATAAGAAACGGTAGACCATTCTGCTACCTGTATTTGTTGCTCACTTTGTTGTGATCCGGGAGTAACTCAGCTTCCTAAACTGTACAGCCATAACATTGATCATTTTCTTCGGTGTAGAATATTTTAAATTACTCAGTTCGCCCCCATCTGTATCATAAGGCGGACCGACAAAAAAACTCACAATGTCATTTCTAGGCAAACATTGTATCTACCATCAGATTAAAAATCAGAACAGAACATGTGCTCTTCTGTACATTTTGTTTTCTCCTAATTCCGTAACTCGGGAGGACCAAAAAGATTCTTATGGTCGTCGGAGCGTGATTGCATCGATTCGCCTTTTGTTTGTTTATGCATTGTTCGCCCCAAATTATCTGTCGCACGTCCATTTGATTGCCTTGATTCGTCTTTTGATTGTTTATGCATCGTTCGTCACAAATTATCATCCGTCGCACGTCTATCTGGGTGGCATTTCTCGAAACGCCACGGCTTATATCAAAATTTGGGCAAATTATCTGTCGAGCTTGAATTAGTCTCTCATTTCTCTCCGGTCCCAAAATGCATGTCGCTATCTCTGATCAACAAATACACGTCTTCAAAATGCAACCTTTTGATCCCAATTCTCAAGTTTGTAGTATCAATCAGCAGTGACGAAAACACACGGTATAAACAAAGCTGTGAACGGTGGCAATTTGCATAGCTCGACGACGATGAGTTTGAGCGAGTCAAAGTCAAGACGAGCAGCACCCTGAGCTGTTCACGGGGGTGACGGCGTCATCCTTGGCGCTGACGTCGATGGTCCGCCCCCGGGGCGGCGCGGCGGGGTCGTCGCCGATGTCGAGCGCGTTCCGGCTGACGACGCGGTAGATCTGCGCGAGCACCTCGGTGAAGGCGCCCTCCACGTTGGTGGCCTCCAGCGCCGACGTCTCCATGGAGAAGGTCCCGTGCGCCTCGGCGAACGCCCTGGCGTCCTCCGCGGGGACGGCGCGGAGGTGGCGCAGGTCGGCCTTGTTGCCCACGAGCATGACGACGATGTTGGCGTCCGTGTGGTCGCGGAGCTCCTTGAGCCACCGCTCCGCGTTCTCGAACGTGATGCGGCGCGTCACGTCGTACACCACCAGCGCGCCCACCGCGCCGCGGTAGTAGGCGCTCGTGATGGCGCGGTACCTGGGGGGGGGGGGGGAAGCCAACGAGGTCAATCCAAATATCAAAGGGATATCCAATCCAATCCATTGCGCAAAAGTGAAGCATAGCGAGTTGAACACGTAAAGGTTTTTGTGGAAATGCGCAAGAGAAGCCATGCGTGTGATTTTGCTCACTGGAGCACATGAATCGTTCTACCAATGATGGACTAAATGGAGTCGTTGATTGAAAATGGAGTTGTGCTACTAGAAATCACCAATCAATCTACTAGTAGCGAAAACGAGAGAACAGAAGCAGGGATGATGGTCACCAATCAATCTACAAGTAGCGAAATCGAGAGAGCAGAAGCAGGGGAAGATGGTGAATATAGCCAAGCTACAGATGAGATTGGAGACGATGGAAGCAGAGCAAAGTAATGGTACCTCTCTTGGCCGGCGGTGTCCCAGATCTGGGCCTTGACGAGCCTGTCGTCGACGCGGACGGTCTTGGTGGCGAACTCGACGCCGATGGTGGACCTGGTCTCCAGGCTGAACTCGTCCCGCGCGAACCGCGACAGCAGGTTCGACTTCCCCACGCCGCTGTCCCCGATCAGCACCACCTTGAACAGGTAGTCGTACTCCTCCTCCGCCCTGTACCCCGCCGCCGCCGCCGCCGCCGCCATCCCCCCCTCCTCTCGAGCCTCGACTACGTGCAAGCCCGCAACCCACCGATCCGCCGATTCGCTCCGCCTCCCCCGCGCGTTGAGCTGGATGCAGCGAGCGAGCGCACCGCTTCCCTTCAATTATACCCACGCGGCTCGGCGCGGCGCGGCGCGTTCTCTCTTCTTTTCGGGCGAGGTTGCTTTGGATTTTTGGGGGAAAAAGGAAAAGAAAGGCGTGTGGAGTGTGGTCGCGTGGCGCGGTGCGGACGAGGTCGCCGCGGTTAGCTGCGGGTTGTTGCCCCCCGCGTCGCGCTGCTCTGTCTTTGGTTTGGTCGTATTATTATCGGGCGGTGCGAGGCTGCAACGATGTGTGTGTGTGGATTGGCACGACGGGTTGGGTGATAAGGTGGAGAACGAGAGCGGGCGAGCCGTGAGCCGGTGGCGATTTTGACGTGAGACGGTTTTGGTGGCGTTGTCCGGGTCTTGGTTTCGTCTTGCTGACCGGGGCAAAACGCATGTGTCACCCGGACCGGTCGTTTGGTTTTCAGTTCGCAAGCGAATGACGAGCAAGGGTCCGGTGTGTCTATCGGTGCACACATTTCTGAATATTTTTGAGGGGGGGAGATGGCTGCGCTCGCTGCGGTCGTGACGACCGCGGGCGTACGTAACAGCGTGAACACTGACGTCTGAGCCTCTGAGGAAAAGAGGATCACGTAAATCCTCCACAAGGTTGAGCAAACGCCGCATCAGGCATCACTCCCAAGTCCATAAAACAACGGGTTCGACATGTAGCTGCTCTTCCCAAGGAGTACCGATGTCGATGTACGAGTAATTGTGGAAAGCGAGCTGGGCCTCAGCGAGGTGCTTGCCGGTTACTGCGTCCGTGTCTCTCAACCGAAGCCGCTACCGATGGGCTGAAACCATCACAAAAGCAATAAGTTCACTTTAGATCCCTTCAGTTGTCACTGAGTCTGAAATTCGTCCCTGGATAGAAATACCGGGTATTGCCCATCCCCCAACTCACAATATAACTTTAGTTCATCGGTAGTATAGTGGACTGTTTTCACTAACGTGGTAAGTGGGACCTACATGTCATCGGCCACATCTTCTCCCTCCTCTCCCACCAGGGGCGGAGCTAGTATATATTAGGGGGGTGCCTAGGAACCCGGTCAAAAAAAAATTTTAGCTATACTTCATCTATTTTCACAATGTATGCACCCCCTCAATACAAACTTAGGTACCCGCATCAGTTTAAACTCGATATAAAGTAGAGTAAATTAAGCAAGTGGCACCACCCTCCATTTCGCTCTAGCTCCGCCCCTGTCTCCCACCTCGCTTCCTCACTCTGACACTCTTCCCATCTTTAGGGCGATGCGCATTGGGCAGCATGGAGAGCGCAGTGGGAGGCGCGGAGAGGAGCGGTGACAAGCAGGAGGCCGGGCTTAGGAGGAGCGGCGAGAGAGCGGATGAGGCTGAGAAGAATGAGGGAGGAGCGAAGGATACTGAGAGGGGAAAGAAGGAGCGGTGGGGGTCGGGTGGAGGAGGAGCAGTTGGAGCAAGGCAACCGCACAGGTCGGCAGTGGTGGCGGTGACCGCTAGGGCAGGGCGCCATCCTCTTCAACCTCCTACCTTGATGGACCTCAATAGCAGTGACCGTGGGGGAAGCGATAAGATGGCGGCCACGAGTGGACGAAACCATCAAGCTCGAGTTTGACAACACTGGCGTGATTGGCGAATGGAATGATGGGGTGGGGCAAGGTTGGGAAGAGGAAGAGGCTGTTTCCAGGGCGATGTGGCAGTGATGCTAGTAAGCAGGAGCACGCGCGAGGTTCCGGCAGACGGAGAAGTGCGTGGGGATCCTGTTGCAAATCTTCACCGAGAACAAATGGTGGCTCATCGGCGAGGGAAACAACCTTGAAGATGTTGGCGACCTCCACTCCTCTGTCGGCATCCTCAACCCCCCCTCGCTCCTCTTGGTCTCATCCGCTCTCTTGCTGCTCCTCCTTCGTCCGGCCTCCCGCCGGCAGCCGCCGCCTCACTCCTCATTGTCCGCGCGCCCTCTACACACCACCTGTTGTGCACCGCCTTGCAAAAGAAGGTGGGAAGAGTGAGGAAGAGAGGTGGGGAGAGGAGGAAGAACAGTTGGGCATTGACATGTGGGAACACATGCGTTCCCTTCGACACGTCAGCTAAAACCGGTCACTATACTGCCAAGAGACTAAAATGGCTGTGACATGTGAGTTAGGGAATGTGCCATACCTATTATTTCTGTTCAGGGATGAATGTTAGACTCAGCGATAAATTAAAAGGACCTGAACTACTTATGGACTCTGGGCCGAAGATGCCGAGAGGGAGAACACTTGCGAATTCTGAAACCCATTTATGGACTACGGGCCGAAGATTTCATCGAGCCATGAGCCCATCAACACTTTTGCTCGCCACGGATGGGCACGCTTATGGCTGTATGCCTGTATGGTTCGGGGAACATCCATCCAGAACTGTGACCAATATCAAAGTGCCGATCGGTCAGAAGTTGAGGCTGCCTGCTGTGGTTTGTTTAATAAAATCGAACAAAAACTATTCATCAATCGGTCAGGATCACCAATTAAAGACCGGAAATCAACCTCAGTTTTAAGTACCGCTACGTGCCAAATCAAAGTTTTCCGTGCCGCGGATCGATCAAAGGGGACACAAACAAACACGTTCACACGATCATTCACGCGACGAACTTAAGTGTGGGAACGCCATTTTAAAACAATGCAGTGCGGTGCAGCTCACGGGGAAACACCATATACTATGTAACGGTGAAATCGTAGATAACTTCATCGGACAAGATTCAGATCTGCGTACCCACTAAATTATCACCACAACATGGAGTAGTAATTTACTATCTCTGTCTTAAAATATTTGTCGCTTTGAGTTTTTTAATAACGTTTGATCATTCGTCTTATTCAAAGTATTAGGAAATTATTATTTATTTTATTTGTGACTTGCTTAATTATCAAAAGTACTTTAAGGATGACTTATCGTTTTTTATATTTGCACTAATTTTTCACATAAGACGAATGGTCAAACGTTGCTAGTAAAAAGTTAAAGCGACATCTATTATGTGACAGAGGTAGTACTAAAGTAAATAGGAGTATTACTGGGTCTCCGTATCTTTAAACAAATGTTTTAATAGAAGCGAATGCAATAAGGTGATGCCGCAGGATATAAGAGTTACCAACCAGATTATTTGTGTTAAGTTTGAAGAAGAAAAAAGAGAGAAGCAAAACTAACTGCATATTTGTATGTCGTTATAGCACAAATTAAAACAAACTTTATGGAAATAAGGCTACGTTATTTAACTCCAAACTTCAACTTTCTATTTTTCGTTAGCTCGCTTAAATGATGTGTCTGTGTTTTAAAAGTTTGTTATAGATGATATACACAAGATAGAGCCAATTATTGGCTTTATTATTAGGGTCTATCTATCATTAAAAAAATCCCCAAAAATTCTTTTAAATATGACTACGACATGATTATTTATATAGTTAAATTATAATGTAAGTAGCATATAATTATGTATTTAAGTAGAATATGAGTGGTACGTAGGTTGAAAAAATTGTGCCACTTAGTGGGGGACGTGTGCACGCGGAAGCTACTTGTGACTGGTTCGACACTCACCGCACGTAATTTGTTTTGATTTTTATCACATCCAGCGTGCATGGATTTTAAAGCCCATACTATATGGCTCAAAATTTGACAGATTTGCTCCCAAAATTTCTGTCGGATGTTAAATAGTAACTTATAATTAGGCTTACTCCCGTCAAGGAAAGTAGTAAACGAATACTTGAAAAGGGAATTTCATATAAGGTTAGATCTCATGTTAGATTCCGTCCAAACTCTCATGGATTCATGTATTCCATAGACGCGCAATCTTTTATTCAAATGGTATATTGAACAAATTCTATATGTGATTCAAATTGATTAACTATTGTGTTTGAAAGGGCCGTTTTCTCGTATGTTAATTTATAAAATCCGGCTATTGGCTCGTTTATCTGAAAGGGTCTCTTGTAGGCGCACGCGGCTACTCATGAATCACGATCCTGTTTGTTCCTTCGATTGTCCCATGGTAGGGAAATAAGCCGAGGTCTTGTTTAGTTCTCAACTTTTTCTTCAAAATTTCAACTTTTCCATCACATCAAAACTTTTCTACACACATAAGCTTTTAACTTTTTTTCTTCAAACTTTCAATTTTAGCCAAACTTCCAATTTTAGCGTGGAACTAAAGACGGCCTGAATGAGATCGACTCATTTAGTCATCGTTCAGTTAATATCCCTCGTGAAAATTAAGAGAGAATTGAAAAGAATTTATTTCATACCAATTGCGGTATAAAATTAATCCTGCTCAATCCCTTCCTCTTGAGGATAACCGAACAAGGTCTGAAAAAAGGGAAACGTGGTTAGAACATGTTTGGTTCATTTTCTAACTTTGGCACATGTTCTTGCTAGATCTAGCCAAATCCGGGAATGGCTAACAACTTTATGATAAAACCTTAGGCAAAGTTTTAGGGGGAAAAGGAGAGGAGAAAATCTTAGGGTAAAGAAGCTACTCCCTCCATTTTATTTGTAAAGTCGTTTGACTATTTGTTAGTCAAAATTCTTTAGGTTTGTCCAAGTTCATAGAAAAAATTAGTAACATCTACAACACTAAATTAATTTTATTAAATTAACTTGAATATATTTTGATTGACGCTAATGACACTAAAACCGAGAACCTATTTATAAAAAAGAATCTAAAAAAACTAAAATATTTTTTCTTACAAATAGGTCCTAAGCGCTAAGGACCTATTTCTAAATAGTTTGTTATGAAAAAAATATCCATTTTCAACTTTTTTTACATATAGACTCTCGATGTTAGCGTAATTGGCACCAATCTATTTACATGAGTGATTTAGCTTTCACGAGGGGGCGAGAGGAATGATGCCAATATCATTGACGCCGTTATATTGGAGCGCGGTGCAAATAATGCTGATTGTTGCTAGCGCCACGAGAATCCATTCCTTTGATAAGTTTTTCGAGGGTTTATTTATAAAATAAGTTTCTTAGAAAGAAAAAAAAAAGATCCTGTCAAACCAAACGCCCTAGCGATTGCCGATTGGAGGGAGCTGGAGGCCAGGGCGAGAGCAGAGAACGGGTAAACAGGTAAACACGCCCCGCCCTCTTTTTTCTCGGTCGTATTCACTCCAGTCCTGCGGTGGTCTGGTCTCCCAGTCCTGTGGTGGTCTCTCTGCTCTGCTCTGTCTCGCCCGTCGAGAAAAAAATGGTTTCTCTCTCACATCTGCCACACACCCACACGGGCGTCGACGACGACGACGGGATTTCCCTTCCGCACTTTCTGCTGCGCACGAGTACCACACCCACATGCACAGTACACACACTCTCCCCCCTGTATACTCCCACGCATCAATGCATGTTGGTGTTTGTGTAGGCAGGTGGGCTTGCAGAGCCAGCCGAACCCCCACGAGGAGACACACACGGGGCTGCCTGCGCAGGCCTGCACTCCATGCAGCATGCACACGCGCGCACGTACGAACAGCCCCCCGCGCTTCTGCAACCAACCAACGCAGGTGCACGATCCAACACGATCACAGGAGAAACTTGACGCGCTACTACGTGATGAAGCGTGGTGTGAACATTGCCTAGCCTACGCCAACAACTCAGTCTGGTCAATCCAACAACAACAAGAGATCGCTGCACCGTGCGACGACCATGCATCCCTCCCTCGAGTCAATCCAACAACGGCCATATGGATCAGAAGGCGAAGCTAGGAGTAGAAGAAGAGACCACACACACCACGGCAAGGGGGGAGGTTGCCATTATTACTGCCTCTCTTGGACCAGGAATTCCTTTCGATTTCCACCGGATTCCCCTCCATTTCCTCTCCTCGAAACAGCCTATTTCCCGGTCTCCTTGACCTGCTTCTCCGTAGCAGCAGCTACTACTCCTACCATGCATGCATGCACCCGCACCCAATGCGTGCATGCGTGAACTCACAGTGTGCACCTCTCTCTCCCTCCTACATGCACGGCTATGACATTTACTCCGTGCAACAACTTGCAATTCCATCTCCATTAGAATAATCCTCATCGATCATTCACCTCAATTCAATGCCTATTCACAAGCGGCCAAGCAGCGGGAGGAAGGGAACTAGGAAACCATCTCTCTCTTTCTCTCATGCATCCAGTAGCCAGTAGCCACAGATAGGCCAGTTCCACTGGCGTTAACTCGGCCTCTTTTTGACTGGATGAAATGAAGTGTGCGCGTACATTAAACAACTGTTGCGTTGTGGTCTCCAAATCGTCACTCAAAAATTGCATAATAGTACTCCCTCCGGCTAATAATACTTATCGTTTTAGACAAGGATAAAGTCAAACTTTACAATCTTTGATTATAAATCATTTTTAAAATATTTGTCTTTTAAATATGGTGACTACATATATAGATTAGTCTTAAAAAGTACTTTAATATGATCATATATTTGTTAACAATTTTATACATAATATAATGAAAAATAATGGTCAAAGTTGTTTTTTTGGAGACCGTACCCTTGTCCAAAATGACAAGTATTATCAACCCGGAGGGAGTAGTATATACTAGTAAGAGCTATACTAGCTTCGTCCCTAAATTAAGAGTGTCTTTTAAACTATGAATCTGAACATTCGTAGTACTAACAATTGGCTAATTGATTGAGTCGTGAGCAGGGTTTACCAAACCGTTTAGGATGGGGTTACCGCCACCCCACGGTTTGACGCTTACTGTGGTTACCGTGCACAGGGTATGCCGTGGTTTTGAGAAGGTTACCATACATGATAACCGCGTGACAACTGCACGGTTTTTGTAAACCCCGCTCGTGACTTCGTGAGTGGCATATACAGTAACAACTACTAGCTCAATTAGAACCAAGAGATATATCGACACCGGCTTTAAAGATGTTGTCTTTACTAGAGTAGAAATGGATAGTAATAACTAGTGCTCCCCTTGTGTTTAAATATAGGACTATCATATTATTAACTTTAATTGGTTAAAAATGTGAAACTATCACCATCAATAGGTAGCACAAAAAATTTAGCTAAGAACATATATAAAAAACTTATGGGTAGATTTTCCTTTATATACTTTTGGAATATTAATGATTTTGTCCTTCTACGCTAATTGAAAATTATTAGTCAAAAGTCATCACTAAATACCCAATAAAATTAGCAATACCATATATTTAAATATGGAGGTACTTGGTGTATGTCTTTGACTTTTCAATGTGAACAAGATATAACTTTTGCTATCCAACTGTAGACCATTTGTTGTTGGATAATGGATTAAACAACCCGGCCTCTACATAAAAAAAACCTACACAACCAAAAAGTCCTAACACGAGTACATAGACTCCTTCCGAAACATGGGATGAAATTACACCACCAAAAGCACAAAAAGCAAGGAAGAGGACAACCAAAGTTACGCTTTAATTCTCCTTATAAAGTTCCAACGATAAGAAAAATAGAACTCTGAACTCTTCTTAAGCAACATCGACCAAAGTCTCGTTTGATGTGTGCCCCCTAAGAATTGCCTGCACAAAAGAATTAGCATGTAACTATTAAAGGCCAAGTCATTTCTGCTTAGCCAAACCGACCAACATAGCAGCAATGCCAACAAACAATATTTTTTTTTACTTTACGGTTAACCCCATTCAACCAACTTCCAAACATATGCGATATACTACAAAGTTGACGGAATCCAAAGGTGAAGCTAATTGCACTCTATATAAACCAGACCATAGTACAATCGAAAAATAGGTGTTGTATTGTCTCATTAGAGTTACAAAATCCAACTGTAGACCATAAATATAAACCATGCATTTTCGTTACTAAAAGAATATCTCCAAATGGAAAATTCTTTTTGTGACTTTGTACACATTTTCTTGACGTGAAGAGGCACATGCAAGCCCACAATGTTGGAAGAAACGGGCGCCCTCGACACGCCACCAACTAACTTCATGTTTATTTGAGGCATCCATGCGCAAAGTGTGCAATGTTTTTAGGAGATGACTAGAGCCTGCTCATAATTTGAAGCGGTTTTTGAAATTTTAAATTTGAAGCATATTTTAAGGTCTCTCCTTTATAATTAATGCAGGGATTTCATAGAATATAAACTAATTCTTCGCGCATGTGATTTTTGGGTGTGTGTTTAGTTCATGCTAAAAATGGAAGTTTGGTTGAAATTGGAACGATGTGACGGAAAAGTTGGAAGTTTGTGTGTGTAGGAAAGTTTGATGTGATGGAAAAGTTGCAAGTTTAAAAAAAAGTTTGGAACTAAACTCGGCCTTTATGTAAAATCCTGCGTTCCAAATTGTAATCCGAAGCAGATTTAATGAGAGATGCATCCAATGATCAATACATACTACTAGACCAACAGGGCCTTCTTGGTGCAATTTTTAAAAGAAGAGCCTAGCTCCTTTGAAACGGATGAATTTCATAGTGGGTATTTGGAGGAAACGAACAGTTTCCCTGTAAATTTGCCGTGCACGATTAGCACAGTAACTGCAATTTCCATTCTTTCGTTTCTGGAAATGACTCGATCGATCAGAAAGTACGCTGCTAACCGGCGACGACACACATGTCATCCCAAGCTAGCTAGGTCACCATCACCACCGTCCCAGGAGTCCTCTCATGCAAAAAGGCATTACCCACCATTACCAGCAGGAGGTAGTATGGCAGAAATGCTGGAAGGAAGGCCCAGACTTTGTTCAGTCTTCCAAGCAGGGTAGTAGCCGAAGCTGAAACTGAAGCTCAGCTCCAGTGTCCTTTGCACCCTTCCGGCATCAGCGACACGGCCAAGGCAACCACCCCATCGCTTCCCTCCCGGTGCAACTGCATCATCTCCCTCGCACGCATCTCCAAGCAGATAAAGAGATGGTCGCTACTCCGTAGAAGTAGTCGGCATTTATTGGGCGGCGACACTTTGCACCACCAAGGGTAGGTGCTCGCCATTATAAGAGGCAGCAATGTGCAAGAAACCATTCCATCCATCCATCCACCTATCCTAGCTAGGGAGATAAGAGGAACACTCCTAGCTCGTCTACTCCTAGCTCTCTCGTCCAATCCGGCCGGTCCCTGTCGCCTCAAGGAGAATCATCTGTGGCTAGCTATAGATCTTTCTCTCATCGACGAGCGCGAGCTGCTAGTATAATTAGGCTTGTGTTGTTGCAGAGGGGAGCTGAGAGTTCATCGGGTTGAATCGATCGATCGGCAGGTTTGCGGGCATGGCGTCGTCGAACAGGCACTGGCCGAGCATGTTCAGGTCGAAGCACGCCACGCAGCCGTGGCAGACGCAGCCTGACATGGCCGGGTCGCCGCCCTCCCTCCTCTCCGGCTCCTCCGCCGGCAGCGCCGGCGGCGGCGGCTACTCCCTCAAGTCGTCGCCCTTCTCGTCAGGTAGGTCGATCGATCTCGCCGCGCGCATCCGTGCATGCTACTGTTCGCGCTTTGTACTATGGTAGGTAGGGTTTTCGTGTTGCGAGGTTACAGGGGATCGAGATCGATCGGGAGGGAATTGATATGGGATTTCGTGGTTGTACTTGCAGTGGGCGAGGAGAGGGTTCCGGACCCGAAGCCGCGGTGGAACCCGCGGCCGGAGCAGATCCGGATCCTGGAGGCGATCTTCAACTCCGGCATGGTCAACCCGCCGCGCGACGAGATCCCGCGCATCCGCATGCAGCTGCAGGAGTACGGCCAGGTCGGCGACGCCAACGTCTTCTACTGGTTCCAGAACCGCAAGTCCCGCTCCAAGAACAAGCTGCGCTCCGGCGGGACAGGCCGCGCGGGGCTCGGCCTCGGCGGCAACCGGGCCTCCGCGCCGGCGGCGGCGCACCGGGAGGCCGTGGCGCCGTCGTTCACGCCGCCGCCACCAATCCTCCCGGCGCCCCAGCCGGTGCAGCCGCAGCAGCAGCTTGTCTCGCCTGTGGCGGCGCCTACCTCGTCGTCGTCTTCCTCCTCCGACCGTTCGTCCGGGTCCAGCAAGCCTGCGAGGGCTACGTCGACGCAGGCGATGTCCGTGACGACGGCCATGGACCTGCTCTCGCCGCTCGCCGCGGCGTGCCACCAGCAGATGCTCTATCAAGGCCAGCCACTGGAGTCGCCGCCGGCGCCTGCTCCCAAAGTGCACGGCATCGTGCCACACGACGAGCCGGTCTTCCTGCAGTGGCCGCAGAGCCCCTGCCTGTCGGCCGTCGACCTCGGCGCCGCCATTCTTGGCGGCCAGTACATGCACCTGCCGGTGCCCGCTCCGCAGCCACCGTCGTCGCCGGGCGCGGCGGGCATGTTCTGGGGGCTCTGCAACGACGTGCAAGCGCCAAACAACACCGGCCACAAGAGCTGCGCCTGGAGCGCCGGGCTCGGCCAGCACTGGTGCGGCTCCGCCGATCAGCTCGGCCTCGGCAAGAGCAGCGCGGCGTCGATCGCCACCGTGTCTAGGCCGGAGGAGGCGCACGACGTCGACGCCACGAAGCACGGTCTGCTACAGTACGGCTTTGGCATCACCACGCCGCAAGTGCACGTGGACGTTACCTCCTCGGCTGCTGGCGTTCTGCCTCCTGTTCCGTCCTCGCCGTCGCCGCCGAACGCCGCCGTCACCGTCGCGAGCGTGGCCGCCACCGCTAGCCTGACTGATTTTGCTGCAAGTGCTATATCTGCTGGCGCCGTCGCTAACAATCAGTTTCAAGGTACTCTTTTTGTTCTTTGATATGAAGAATTTAATTAACTGGTCAAATCATGAATCACCACCATTTAGCTAGATTATCTGTTGGCATTTTTTCCCCTTTGTTCAGTATCACATGCATGCATCATATTCATACGCTCATGTTTAAATGGATTAATTAGAAGTGTCACTTCAGGGGAGTCTAACTTCTCTTGTAGTGTTGTCCTCAATTTCAGTTTCGTTTGGATTTAACTACAAAATGACAAATTTTTTACTGAAAGAAGAATTGTATATGCATGAAATTGTACTGTACTAGTTTCCTTTAGGGCCCAATCCAAACCAGCCGTTCTCAAACAAGGGCCCTGTGCCCAGGCATGGCAATGATAATAAGACAAGTTTAGGCCATGTAAAATCCTTTTCTTTTGTGTGTCTGTACAATCTTATCACTTCAATGCAGATAGACTTTCCAGTAAAGATGAAGAAATTTGTCATTTTGTAAGCATGTAGATTTAGACAAGACCAAAATTTGTGAGCTGTTCTCCATCAGGTCAAATTGAGTAGGTTTCTTGATGGGATGTTACAAATATGCGAACTACTAGTACTACTGCTATTTCATGGTGATGGGGAACATCATGTCATCGCATGTAGATGCATTCAGCTCCCACATGCTCCCTCCATCCAAAAAAAAGACAAACCCTGGTTTGCATGTGCAACGTTTGACCGTCCGTCGTATTTAAAAAAAAATATGAAAAAAATTAAAAAGACAAGTCACGCATAAAATATTAATCATATTTTATCATCTAACAAAAATAAAAATATGAATTATAAAAAATTTTTATATAAAACGGACAGTTAAAGTTAGACACGGAAATCTAGGATTTGCCTTTTTTTTGGGATGGAGGAAGTACTCCGTAATGGAATCCATCTGGGCATGCATGGGGCTATTTCACATGTTCATGAAAAGACTCGAGTTGGAGGAATAGAAGCATAAGATTCCATATAAGATTCTAAAACTGGACTTTGGAAGCTCGGATAGTGCTAACTGCAGTAGTTTTGATCATCTCTCTGGGGAAAATTATTCTGGTAGATTTGTCATTGCACGAACACATGCACTAGTCTATCAGTATCCAATAATTAATCTGGGAGTACTAGTACTAGTAACCAGATTACACTGACAGATTTAGGCTTGAAAACTGATTTTGACCTGACAGATTAAAGGAGGTGAGGGATAAAAAAAAGAGACCCATTTTAGGGGGTGTTTGGGAGAAGCCCCTCTCTTAAAACCATAAGTCTCTTTTTGAGAGAAGGGCTAAGTTTAGCCCCTTTCTCCCAAACACCCCCTTAGATGAACAGCAGTAACCGCTACGAATTTAGGGCTTTTTGGCCACAGGTCACAACTCATAAATTGTGCCACTCTAACACTCTTGCTGTATGGTCTTGTCAAATGGTGGCTTCTTTCTCTCAAGAGAGTAGTTCTACACGCGTACAGTATGGTAGGAGTAGCTAGGAGAAGGGAACTGGGAGTACTACACGCGTACAGTATGGTAGCAGCACACACGTACGTTGGTGAAAAGACTGAGGTGATGGTGGTCAAATTTCTCCTGCTCGACGCATGAAAGAAGCTTAAAGTTCTTTCACATTACAGGGGCGTTTCTACCTAGAGTCACCGTGCGCCATGCATGGCCAACGATCCAGGACGCTTTTCATTCAAGTTTTATCATCTCATCGATCGAGTGGTACTAGTAGGAGTAAACTCTGATCAATCTCAGTGACTGTCACAGTTCAACACCTTGGATTTCCTCGTGGTCTTTGATGATTTCTCTCTCAATCCCCGCGCCGCAGTAACTTCTTCCTCTGCATTGCATGCGTGTGCAGTTAATATCACTATCACTAGCTTTGCCGTTTGTTTGACTGTGCATGTGTGTCTGCCACGACCGATCCAATTGCAGGTCTCGCGGATTTCGGGCTCGTCGCCGGCGCCTGCTCCGGCGCCGGAGCCGCCGCCGCCGCCGCCGCGCCCGAGGCGGGCAGTTCCGTGGCCGCGGTTGTGTGCGTCAGCGTCGCGGGCGCCGCGCCGCCGCTCTTCTACCCGGCCGCGCACTTCAACGTGAGGCACTACGGCGACGAGGCCGAGCTGCTCCGCTACAGAGGAGGCAGCCGCACGGAGCCTGTGCCCGTCGACGAGTCGGGCGTCACCGTCGAGCCGCTCCAGCAGGGCGCCGTCTACATTGTTGTCATGTAACTATAGATTAATTAGTTATCTCTCCAATCCGTATCATTGCTGTACTAGTTAAGTGGCCCATATATATATATATATATGTGTTGCCAGTCTTGTCGATCAATTAATCAATCTAGCTTTTTTTTTTAGATAATAATTAATCAATCTAGCTAGGGTTCTAATATATCTTGCATTCTACTGTACGTACGTATGTGTATCGATCGATCGATCCCTTTTTATGTATGCATTAGCATTGGGAGAGCTCGCTCTCTGTTCATTGCAAGGGATCCACCTTGATTGTATGCTAGGTGATGCAGCTTAAACACTGCAGTAGATTTACTCTACCTGCAGTCTACCGTGCATGTCGTATGAATATGAAGCTTTTGTTGGTGAATAGTATTAGCAATTAATATTTTCTGATCTTACTGCATGTAATTTAATCCCGATGGGTTGATCCAGTTGAAATCTCTAGTTTTCGGGTGTTGTTTGCTGTACATGTATATTGTTCACAAATTTTGACAATTTGACTCTTTGCAAAAACTATTTTTACAAATGAACCGCTGCCAAAACTTATTTCAAATCTGATCATTTTGCTTAACGCCAAATCGTGTGGCGCTGAACTTAGACACCTCAGCGCCAATAGCATGGCGCTGAATGTACATTGACACGCTGACTTAGTCTCCCATCCGTCGTGGCATGGCATTCAACGCCAGCTGACGTGGCACTGAGGTGTCTAAGTTTAGCGCCACATGATTTGGCGTTGAGCAAAATGATCAGATTTAAAATAAATTTTGGTAGTAAAAATAGTTTTTGCAAAGGGTCAAATTGTCAAAATTTGTGTATATTGTTCTCTCCCTCAGTTCTGTATGGTTTTTATAGATGTCACAAGATTCACACATACTGTTTCGTGTTAAATGTGGCAAATATGAGTATATGGGAATGGGACAGCAAAGCTAGCAGATTCATATATATAGCGCTAGCGATCATGGTGTACAGGAACGTGACATAAAAGGACTACTCAGCTGAAGAGCATTGCTGACCTGCTGCAAACATGCATGCATGCTAGGAAGTACTCCGAAGTAGTTGTTTCTCCGGTGGTAGTTACACTGGTGGAGAAAGGGGCTTTACTCCTGGTTGGGAACCCCCTATAGTCCCGGTTATACAACCGGGACTACGAATCCGGGACTAAAGATACCCGTCTTTAGTCCCGGGTAAAATAACTGGGACTAAAATCCACCAACCGGGACTAAAGATGGTAGGAGCAGTCCCGGTTATTTTTTTTTCTCAAATCGATCTGCTCCCTAAATATCCCCGATCATATTCCCAAATCATCCCCAAATCAAAGTACCATCACAAATCTGGAAAGAAATATATTACATATTAGAAAGAAATGCATCACAGATCACAATACATCACATCACAAAATCTCAAACAAAAAATACATCACAAATCCTAAAAGAAATACATCACAACTCCCAGATCAGATCCAATATCACATACATCACAAATCAAATCCAATGAATCAAAAATTCAAAAAAAATCGGCAGCAGAGAGGAGGGCGCCGCCGGCCTCCCGGCCACCATCCTTGCGGCCTCCGCACGAGCTCGGCCGGCCGGCCGCCGCGCCAGCCCGCCCAAGCGCCACGCCTGCCCGCCCGCCCGCCCGCCGCGCCAGCCCGCGCCACGCCCGCCCGCCCGCCTGATGCACCCAGACGGCCGGCCGCCGCAGCTCCCGCCGGGCGCCGCTGCTCCCGCTCGGCCGCCACTCAAAGAGGGGAAGGGGAGGAACGGGAGGGCAAAGGGGAGAGGAAGGGATGGAGAAGGAGTAATGAGAGGGGAGGAGATCGAGAGGAGTGCGCGGATAATAACTGAGTAGCGCGCGGTTCGGGGTACTCTTTACTCCCGGTTGGTATAAACAACCGGGACTAAAGATATCTTTAGTCCCGGTTGTTTATACCAACCGGGAGTAAAAATAATTGGTATAAACAATTATTTTTGTGGCGCGCGGATAATATCTGGCGCGCAGTTCAGGGTACTCTTTACTCCCGGTTGGTATAAACAACCGGGACTAAAGATCTGTTTTTAGTCCCGGTTGTTTATACCAACCGGGAGTAAAAATAATCAGGGTCTGTCTTGAACCCCTCAACTTCTTGAACCGGGACTAAAAATAAACTTTAGTCTCGGTTGGTAACATCAACCGGGACTAAAGATCAAAAAGTACCCCTCAACTTTTAAACAGGGACTAAAGCTTTTTAGTCCTGGTTTTTATTAGAACCGGGACTATTGTGGAATTTGGCCGACCGACCAAAGATGATTTCTCCACCAGTCAGTAAAACAGTGGAGAGGCCCTGTTTGGATCACAGCAAAAAACAAAGCAACAGTGGAAGAGTTGCGTTCTAAAGGAAATTTCTCTCTCTAGGGCCGGGTGCTTTGAGAAGGGTTTCAATTCTCTACCAGTGGTAACCATGGCAACCAGACTTACTGCAGGGTTAGGTAGTAGGAATAAAGCGGTAGGGTTTAAAGAAATTTGGTTGAAATCAAATTTGAAGGTAGAAAACAATGAAACATCCTTATGCCCCGTTTGGTAGGGCTCTAAACTCCAACTCCTAGCTCTAAACTCCCACTCTAGTGGGAGTTGAAAACAAGATGAAAAGTGTTTGGCTAGCATTTTAACTCTAGATCTGAAATTTTAAAAAAAAGAAAAAAAATCCCCAAACCCTGACAGCTCGTGCGCCGCTGGCCGCCGTTGACCGTGCGCTGTCGCCCGCCGCCGGCCTCACGTGCCGTACGTGCACCCCCCCCCCTCCCGCCCCCCGCGCGCGCCGTCCCCCCACAAGCCGCTTGTGCGCTAGCCATGACAGAGGTGAGTAGGGGAGGGAGAGGGAGAGAGAAGGGTGAGTTTAGAGTAGTTAAGTGTCATTTTTGTGTAAATATGTTAAAAAGTTAAAGGGTAGTGGGTCTTTTGAGGTAGGGTGGGGTGGAGTGGAGCTGTGGAGCAGAAAAACCCTGCTCCACCCCCGCATTTTATTTTTTAGGAGTAGCTATGCTAACTTCACTCCCAAAAACAGAGAGTCTGGACTGTTTTTGGCACAGCTCCAGCTTCAGATAAGTTGAAGTTGGAAGTTGGACCTATGTCAAACAGGGCCTTATATGTAGTGCATGCATAATTTCTAGTGCTATCTGGTGAAAAAAAAAGAGAGAGGTTAACTTCGTATTTTGAGGTCAAATATAAATTGAAACACAAATTTTAAACGAACCTATTTGTACTATCTATTGTTTATTCTCATCCTATGTGGTTGCATATAGACTTGTTATCTCAGTTGTATGCAGATTAGGGGGTGTTTAGATTCAGGGGTGTAAAGTTTTGGCGTGTCACATCGAATATTATATAGGGTATCGCATGAGGTGTTTGGCCACTAATAAAAAAACTAATTAGAGAATCCGTCAGTAAACCACAAGACAAATTTATTAAGCTGAATTCCCGGTCAAAAAAATTTATTAAGCTGAATTAATCCGTAATTAGCAAATGTTTACTGTAGCACCACGTTGTTAAATCATGGAGCAATTAGGCTCAAAAGATTCATCTCGCAAATTAGTCGCAATCTGTACAATTAGTTATTTTTTAGCCTATATTTAATACTTCATACAAATGTTCAAACATTTGATGTGACTGGATGTAAAATTTTTGTGTGGGATCTAAACAGGGCCTTACTGTACAGTTGTTGTGACTGCAGGCCTGTGCATCCTTACCTAAGTAGAGGATTGGCACTTGATTTCTACATAAAAACTAGACACTCAATTCGTAGATGCATCGTAAATATTTATATGAGAGGCAGCGGGCGGGTCGTACAGGAGTACAGCGGCAGAGCCGCTGATGGTTGGTGGGACTTCTAGAAAGTAAAAAAAAAATAAATTCCAATGATAGTTATGTTCAATTTTTAGAATCCCAATGATAATAAAGAGTAGGCGGCGGACGGGTTGTATATGAGTATAGTGGCAGCATTTGACAGGATTTTTAGAATTTATAAAAAAATGAAACCAACAAGACAATAAAACTGTAAAAACTATAAGGTCCATTTTTTAAAGGCTTGGGCTTCTAAAAAGTAAAAAACCCAATAATAATCATGTTTGGTTTGAAAATCTCGAGGACAATAAAGAAGGGAGGCAGCGGACGAGCCGTAGAGGAGTACAGTGACAAAGTCGCTGACGTTTTGGCGGAACTTCTAGAAAGTAAAAAATGAAATTAAACAATAATTATGTTTAATTATTAAAATACCAATGATGATAAATAGAAGAGGCAGTGGACGGCCGTAGAGAAGTACAATGGCAGTGTTTGACAGGACTTATAGAAATTATAAAAACAAAACCCAACGGGACAATAAATTCTAAAAACTATAAGATCCATTTTTTAAAGTTCCAAGAAAAATGAATAGAAATAGTGGTAAATCGAGCAAGCAAATAAAGAAGAATATGACAGAAGTAAGGGATAGCAACTGGTGTGACTTTTAAAACTATAAAATTAGAAACACGAGGATGATGATAAGGTTTGGTCTTTCAAATTCTTAAGATAACGAGATAAATATTTGATAAATTTTAAGTAAAATCATATTAAAAAAAATATAATTTTATATGGGTGCTAGCTACGCAATTGCGCGGGCCATCCAGCTAGTTTAGAAATAAAACTAGATATGTTTGGCAGATTGGGAGATGCAGTTTGCAGAGGGAGTGGATTTTGATCCCTCGAGGGGATGTCCCCTCGTTACTTGCATGTCACTCAAATGGTTATGAAAAAATTTTGAGAAGATGTATTAACATATGAAATATCACTGCACAAATATGCAAGTTCAAATTCAACTTCTATATCTCGCAACGAAAAAAAACAAATTAAACTACAACTAGTTAATGTATATTCACAGTCAAATTTGTTTTTTTCGTTACGAGATGTAGAAATTAAATTTGAACTTGCATGTTCGTGGAGTGATATATCATATGTTAATACATCTTCTTAATTTTTTTTAAATTTTTTTTTGTAATCATTTGAATGACATGCAAATAACGAGTGGATATCCTCTCGAGGGATTAAAATAGTTTCCTGTTTTGATTAGTAGTACTACATGTACCTTTTCTCTCTATATATTTTTTTCCTGATGTAAACGGATGGAAGTACTCAATTTCTGATTGTTGTTGTACTTATATTGTCTCGGGATAAAAAAAATCCTTTATATTTCTAGACAAGCTGAGAGAGCATAATCCCCTATATACAAGGTAAGAGGGAGTATTATTTAGATGTAAAATTAAGGGTTCGTATCTTTAAATTTAGTTTCGTGCAGGGCCACCGAACTCTCAAAACCAGGCTAGCAGACGATCGATCTCGCTCCCATGGTCGCATGGACGTAGAGAAGTCGCGCGCGATCTGAGAGGCTGCCCACGACATCCCGGTCGCCTAGCTTGCCGCACTAGCTCGGTCCGTCCGCCCGCGGCCCGTCAAACCCTCTCTGCAGGTGGAATGTCGCGCCTTCCCTTCCCTTCTCCTCGCGTTCCATCTCCGTCGTCTCGCTCGATCGCCTTTTCATCTCGTGGCTAGCGCCGGCGACGACAACATGCAAGCATGGGCAGGGGGGAGCGCAGGGAATCTGCAGTGGCAGGGTCGACATACGTTACGTGTAGGCAGCCCTCTCCCGTGCGGCAGGAAGAAACCCTGGATTTTTCACATTTTGATCCTTTTAAAAAAACTTATTTCGCAAATAGACCCCTAAAAAAACTTATCCCAGAAATAGTCCTTTTTGGGGCGCCAGAGTGGCTGGCGCCGTCATCCAACCGGTCTTCCTGCCACCGTGGCGCACACGAACCGACGTGACAGGAGGAGGGCGCCAGCATGCTGGCACCGCCCTAGGGAGGAGGGCGCCAGCATGGCTGGCGCCGCCGCCTCTATTCCTGTTTCTCTGTATGGAGTTGCAACGGTGTCATTTTTATTTTATTTTTTCGGATGTTTTTTCACACTCAGGATCACGATACAACCAACTACAAAAAAAATTTAAACTCGAACTACCACTTAGCTAAGTCTGAAAATATCTAGCATACCACTTAGTCTACTTTGCACCTTCACTAAAATTAGACCATAACTCCTTTAGTAAAACCCTTTGATCAGCATGTTAAACATAATGCACTCTACCACTATATAAATTACTTAATCTAATTCAAAATATAACCACATGAAATGACATATATAAGTTAAACAGTACATAGAGATGCAATTTTTTTATTTTTATTTTATTTTTTTGATATTTTTTTCACACTTAGGAGAACATAGGAACCAACCGTACAAAAAATAAACTCAAACGGACAAAATATGTGACATGTAGAATTTTCCAAAACTCTACCGAAACGGACAAAATATGCCATCTATTAAAATAGGCGTAACTTTCTCATACGGACTCGGAATCAGGCAAATAATATATGAACGGACATCTACAGAAAAAGTTACATCCGATTCTCCCCCGCTTTGCCGGGTTCGGCGATATTAAAACCTCCAAATTCCGCTTGCAAGATTGTGTTTTCGAGGAGAGAAGTTTTTCGGTGGAGTTTTGGAAAATTCCACATGCCACATATTTCGTCCGTTTGAGTTTATTTTTTACGTGGTTGGTTCCTGTGAGTTCCTAAGTGTGAAAAAAATATCAAAAAAAATAAAATAAAAATAAAAAAGTTGCACATCTCTCTCCTCTGCACTAGTTCGGAGAGAGGAAAGGAGAGGAAAAATTCTACATGTCACATATTACGTCCATTTGAGTTCAATTTTTCTATGGTTGGTTCTTGTGTGTCCCTAAGCGTGAAAAAAATATCAAACAAATAAAACAAAAATAAAACTCCCCCTAGCCACCTCAGCATCGCCCCGCCACGTCGGCGGTGGGACGGCGCCAAAGAGGCTGGCGCCGTCCTGTTGAACGATGGCGCCAGCCACTCTGGCGCACCATTTTTGGATTAAGTTTTCTAGGGATCTACTTGCGAAATAAGTTTTTTAAAAGAACCAAAATGTGAAAAATCCAGGGAAGAAACCCCCCCCCCCCCCAGGTCGATCGTCGTCGTCCCTCCCCCTCCCCTGACGCTGCCCCTGCCGGGCGCTGGCAGAAAAGCTGCTCGCGATCGACAGGACTGTCCTTCCTCCCTTCCGTCCGGACGTCGTCGTCGGCAGACCAACCGGACGCCTTTCTCCCCCCCTGCATTTTGACTCGGCAGTCACCACCACGCCCTCCTGCCGCGTCCGCCACCACCTCCTCTTCCTCCAGTACCGGCAGCGGCTGCGCCTCCCGAGCGCGGCAAGTCGGCGCCACGAGCAGGAAGCCGAGCAGGAGGAGGAGTAGCCGCCATCCGTCGCGGGAACCCATCGAAGGAGCAGAAGCAGAACCGAGTGGAATCTAGGATGGGATCGAGAGGAGCGATCGAGCAAAGCGACTACGAAAGCAAGCAAGCTTGGCTTATCCCGTAGCGTGTAGCAGCGCAGTGGCGCGCGGGCGGCGAGAGCGCCCCGACAATTAAGGGAGGGAAAGGAGGGCGTTGTTTGCAGGTGTATGGAACTATGGACAAACAGGGGAAGGCGAGCGCATGTGCTGCCTAACTTGGCGGAATCCGACCAAAACCACACTGCCCTCCCGTGAAGAGAGAGAGAGAGAGAGAGGGAGGGAGTGACCGAGCCATGAGGCTACAAATGGGCAACGCCACAGTAATTTAATGGCTAAGCCACAGTAAACTCGGCGTGGCTAATTGTTGCTTGGTCTATACTAACAGAGATTATAATGTACTCATCCTGTCCGCATTAGGCTTGCGGTACAATGGCTAAACGGATTTGTTCTACTGTGGCAGTGGTAGCACTGTTGGTCTGTATGATCAGTACAAAGCAGAAACCATGAAAAGCTTGTCTTTTCCCATGGGTCCAATGGGAGTTGGAAACTGTGGGCGTAGCCAGCGGGTGAAACTACAGTGTATGTACGTGTGGCTGCCTTTGCATGTATAGTTGGAGAGTACGTGGTGGGCACACAGGCACTGCAGCGCACAGACGACACAGACGAAATGTAGCAGGAGGCTGCGTGCAAATCCAGCTCGTACCATCGGCCAAAGAGTGTCGAATCCGGCATCCATGCGTGTCGATCTGTGGAAGTGTGGAGTATATTTGATGGCGTTGATCTGTTCTAGAGAAGGGATTCTTGGGTATTTCTCCTGTGTTCTGCCTGATTGTCTCGGTCACCAGGCCATTTGTCCCTTTCTTTGTTCATTAGGCCATTTGAGCATTTGCGTCTTGGATTCTTGTAGAGGCCTCCGTTGTGTCCACGGCCGAATGGAGTTAGCCGTAAGCTCGTAATCGAGGAGTTTTTGTTGTGGGCTACAAGCATACAGAGCTTTTACATGTCGGCCTAATGCTGCATCCAACCGGGCCGGTTTGAACATTTGCCACGAGCCCACGAGATGGTCCGGTGTGATTGGGCATCATCGTGTCAGTTTAGAAGAAAACTATCGAACAATTGCCGTGCTAGTAATACTACCACAGTCTTAATATGTTATTATTTTCGATGCACATTCTTCATTCTTTGCAAATTTAGCAATTCAGAACTCTAATGATGTTCTGGCCCGATTTCTTCATCCTCGGGAGATAAGGAGAATCATAAATGTCTAGGGGTTTTTCGGCTAGCTCCACAAAGTAATAGGCTAGACGACATGGATTTAAAGCCTCACCCCCTCTAATTATTTTATATTAGGTCTTTCCCTAATATTAGCTTCTTGATTGTATACTGCGAGCCATCCTGTCCCCTAAATTTTGATACTACTATTTATATATTTTTAAAGGAAAAAGGTAAGGCTTGTTTTAATTCTCTTTCCTACCCATAATTTGTGTTGGGTTTAGCAAACCAAACATTCTTAAAACAACACCATGTATCATAGAGATTAGATTTTTTTTTTACTATGTGTTCAACAATGGTTAGTTGAAGGTGGCTATGAGCTGGTTCCACCCTGACGCGTGGGGTGTGCAACGCAAACGTGAGGATCTAGAGCACACGGTGGGATGGCGCAACGCGCACAAACGGAGTGAGCAGGGTGGAACACGCGAGATGAAACTACGCGGTATCTATGGGATGAGGAGCGGGACGAGGATGAAGAGATAAGGAGAATCATAAATGCTTAGGGGTTTTCTAGCTAGCTCCACAAGGTAGTGGGCTAGACGATATGGGTTTAAAACCTCACCCCTTCTAATTATTTCATATTAAGTCTTTTCCTAATATCGGCGTCTTGATTGTATACTACGAGCCGTCCCGTCCCCTTAATTTTAATAATACTATTTATATATTTTTAAAGGAAAAAGGTAAGGGTTGTTTTAATTCTCTTTCCTACCCAAATTTGTGTTGCGTTTAGCAAACCAAACATTCCGCTATAAATTTGACATTATCAATATTAGCACTGCAGAACTGTATTGCTAACACAGATTATTGTTCATGTTAGCTGTACCACAGGTGCAGCCAATTCTATACCCATCAACTTTATCGAACCAATATTTTAGTAGTGCTATAACAAACCAAAACAGGATATTATATTGCCGCGGGATATTGTCGGACCAAACATCCCAATCCAAAGAGCCTTTTTACTGCCGGTGTCCACCTGAGCCCAGTGCTTGATTACGCGGCTAGCTTGTTGTTGGTTGCCCTATCAATCGGAACGTCCGCGTCAGACTAGTGCAGTGCAGCCCGCAACTGATAAGCGATCAACTTGTTCCCGACGCGCGTACTACGAACAAAACACGCGCACGCATCGCTGCATCAGTTTACGCCTTTAAATATTTGGAGTTCCAGAACCCCCACTTTTTATTCCCCCGTTCCTTTCGCATTATGTAATCCATGAGGTCATCCATCACTTGCTCGTTATTAGTAGTAAGTAGTAGTAGTTGTTAGCTGGAGTGGTAGTGGTACACGATTAGTTCAACCTATAATAACAGCCCGATCCGTGATTTGTACACGTACTAATTTTTTCTTACTAAACTTTTACTATCAATCATCTGAACCGTTTAATTTAAGTAGATGAAAGTTATATAAAATCTAGATGCACTTATAGAATGACATATCAGTGTTAGTAAGAATTTAGCAAGAAAAAAATAGTCGTCCCATGTAATATTGGTGTCTGAACAACTTCTTCAAAAAAAAAAAAAAGTATCTGAACAAATTCTGAAGCCTGATTAGCGTATCCGCTGATACATTAGCGGAAACCGGCGAACTGCCAACATCCCCTGCCCCCATCTGGTAGCTATCTCGTCCTCCGTCCTCACCCGCCGCCGCCGCGACCGCGAGCTAAACCACGGCACCGCCGGCGACCTCGTGGACCTCGCCTGTCGCCACATCATCGCTGCCGTCGCCTACTCGCCTCCCCTCCCCGACCCCGACCCGATCCGCTCCGCTCCCCATTTGTTTATTCCGGCGCGTGAGCTAATCACCGCGAGGTCCACCGCCGCCGATAACACCCAAGCCAAGCGCGGTCGCTTCCGCGTCTTGATTTCCTCCTCCTCCTCCTCCTCCCACTCGCGTGCGTACCTCCGCCTTATTATATAGCGCTGGCCTGGGCGGGGCGGAAGAGCCAAATGGTGGCGCTGCTTCGCTCGTGCCGCCGCCTGATCCCGCACCTGTCCGCCTGCGCCGCCGCCGCGCCGTCGTCGTCATCGTCGTGCGCTCCTCGGGCTAGGCCGATCTCGCGGGGACTGCGGCTGCTGCCGGTGGTGCTCGCAATGGCGGGGTACAGCAGCGGCTCCGCCGCGGAGGGGAGGAGGCTGCTGTTCAGGCAGCTGTTCGAGAAGGAGAGCTCCACCTACACCTACCTCCTCGCCGACGTCGGGGACCCCGAGAAACCCGCCGTGGTGAGTAGTTGATGCTCTTGACCATCTGTTCGTTGTTCTGGGTATCAGTTGGGTAAATGGAAGCCTCTTTTATGGATACCGTAAGCAGGATTACTCTTTCAGTGGCTACTGCAGAAATGTAGATACCAACATAAATTAAATAGCAAACTAAATACTCCAAATAGGTATAAGACTGGAATAATTGATTATTACCTGTGAATTGTGGTATCCCTAACTAATTTAAAGATCATCTTGCGTTTTTTTAATGTCTGACAGTACGCAAGATATTGGCAATGTTGCAATCAGTGACGGTGATTATAATTATCCAGTTCAGGAGGTGCATTTATAAACTATGAAAGATAATCAAATTACTTGATATCATTCTGATGGGTTACATATATTCATGTTATCTTGGACTTGGCACTACATTACATAAATGCGCAATCTCGCTAATTTGTTCAAGAATCCCAAAACTTAACCTTCTCCACGGTTTTGCTTAAGTATTTTCAAATAATTTGTTTTCTTAATTATCGTATTGATTGAGCCAAAATGAAAAAAAATGTAACCTTTTTCTCTATATATGTGACAGACTAGACTAGCGCAATAAGCACTAAACTAAATCAGAAAAAAATATTGATGCTGTTTTTGTAGATTTGATGTTTAGCTATAGTTGCTTCCATTTTGTTGATCACCTCCCTAATGTCCTTGGTTTTGTGTTATCAGTTGATTGACCCTGTGGACAGAACAGTTGATAGAGATCTCAATCTTATCAAGGAGTTGGGCTTGAAGCTAGTCTATGCTATGAATACCCATGTGCATGCTGATCATGTCACTGGAACAGGATTAATAAAGGTAAATAGTTCCAACCTCTGAACTTCTCGAGATCTTGTGATATGTTTTCTTTTCATAGTCTTGATACTTTGTTCTCTTTGGTCATAACATGGTCATCTGATGGAATGTACTTGCAGACTAAGTTACCTGGAGTAAAGTCCGTGATTGCAAAAGTAAGCAAAGCAAAAGCAGACCATTTTATTGAGCATGGGGACAAAATATACTTCGGTAACCTCTTCCTTGAGGTATAATCCCATTTTAATTAGCTGTTTGGCTATGTGTTTCTTCTTTCATTTAGTAAGCACTGACATAATTTATGGGGACTATTGAAACTAGTCCTTTTGAGCTCTCTGGCTGAACTTAATAAACATTAATCCTGAACTCTCAACCACCCCACCCCCACCCCTCTGAATTTTATGGAGTATGGCAATTGCAGCAGTTCCCCTAGAATCTCACTCTATACAGGCTGCAAATATGAACGGATTGTCTACTTCTAATTATAAAAGGGCTTTTTCTGTATATGGTCATCTGAGTGGTCTGTTTGTGGTGGTGGTGGTCAGAGACATAATTTATGTGATCTATTCATATATGTATATTTTGTTTCCTTAATCATTTTAACTTTGCGGTGTTTGTCAGTAAGACGATAAACAGTTGTCCACACAGCTAATTCAGGACTTAAAAACTGTGCACTTTTGTAGGTTAGACTTGTATAACAAATTTAAAAGTATTTTCCCTTGGTTCATACAAAATGAGGTAATGTGAATGTTTATGGAGATATGGTGTTTGGGTGATATTAAATATTTTCTCAGCTGTGCAACCATTGTTTGTGGATATGTTGATTCTTGAAATTTGTGTTCTTATTGAAAGTTTGGCTTTAGGTATTTATAGCATATCCATGACAGATATAATATGAATAAGAAAACGTATACTGTCAACCAAGCTGCTGAATAAAACAGCATTGAAAATTATGCATCTTTGTTCTATCCGTCATGTAATATTTTGGATATGATGAAATTTTCTGATATCAGAAATGGCAAAATTGCTTTTTAGGTACGATCTACTCCTGGCCATACTGCTGGCTGTGTGACTTATGTAACAGGTGAAGGCGATGATCAACCTTCACCAAGAATGGCTTTTACTGGTGATGCCTTGCTTATACGTGCATGTGGAAGGACAGACTTTCAGGTAATTGTTACCACTGCCACTTCTTAATGGCTTAGCGATCAGGAACTGTTCTGTTTGAAATCTAAAGATACCGTGGTTAATTAAATTAATAGGGACTGAATGTATTCTGTCTGTTAGTCAAGCATAAGTTTGCTTGCATACGGAAGCTCAGAATTCATGTTCTAGAGAAATTCTGTTTAAACATAGATTGTTTATTTTGTTTTCTGGTATTACAGGGAGGAAGTTCTGATGAGCTGTATGAGTCGGTGCATTCGCAGGCAAGTATGCATTATCCTTTTTTTAAGACTAAATACACATCAGCTTATAGAATAGCATACCACTTTTTTTAGGCAATCATACATAATATTTTGAAACTAGGCACACATCATCTTCATACATAATATGAAGGGTAGGTAGCTGACTTTTTTATCCTTATCAGATTTTCACATTGCCAAAGGATACCCTGCTTTATCCTGGCCATGACTACAAAGGTTTCACAGTAAGTGCTCACTTTCTTAAAGCTCACTAATCAAGGTACCAGGCACTTGACTATTTTATTTTGCAGGTAAGTACTGTTGAAGAGGAGGTTGCGTATAATGCTCGACTAACAAAGGATAAGGTACATGCTACTTTGGCTAATTCTTTACACCCATCTAACTAATAAAAGCTATATTTTTTCTGATATTAATTTACTTGTTATGTTTATAGGAAACATTCAAGAAAATTATGGACAGTAAGTTTCAGAGTCTTTAACAATGGATATGTGCCTTTTCTTCTCGCATCAATTTATGAATATCCATTTTCATTATACTTCTGCTCACGTAGGCACTTACCAGATCAAATCTTACCTCCACTTTTTTAATACACTAAACAAGATCTGGATCGTTTACTCTGTCCACTTGCAGACTTGAACTTGGCCTATCCAAAGATGATCGATGTAGCCGTGCCCGCGAATTTGCTCTGCGGTATTCAGGATCCTCCACCATCCAAGGTCTGAGCTGTTCCGGCTGAAGCTTTCAAGCTGTTGTGAACTCACGGTCAACTCGAGAAGCTCGCAGCTATGTTGTACATTAAATAATCTGTTGTTAATTTGTAAGGCACTACTTGGGAACATTTCCGCTTCATGAGATCAACGGTAATAATAATAAACAGAGGCTAGCTTGCCTCTTGTCTTGTGCTATACAAAGCTCTCAGCGAAAGTCGGTTGAATTGTGGCATCATTCTCAAATTCTGATGTACCTTGTGCACGCGAAAGATGACAGATTTTGCAGCTTGAACGAATCATGCGTTTTCCCTTTTTTGACTTCATTGGAGAATACTACACACTAGTTCAGATTTAGTGTTCCATTTATTTCTAGGTTTAGGGTTCCATTCATTTCTAGGTTGATTCTTCATGCGACAGAAATAGTAGTTTGTATAAAGATTATAGGAGCCCTTGTTTAATTCCTAACTTTTTCTTTAAACTTCTAACTTTTTTATCACATCAAAACTTTTCTATACACATAAATTTTTAACTTTTTTCTTCAAACTTCCAATTTTAGTCAAACTTTCAATTTTAGCGTAAAACTAAACACACCTAAGTAAATGATTTCTGAACACGCCAGCCTGATGTAACGCCCGAAACACGTTTTGTTCCTTGTCATTTTTCTGTGACCTTGATCAGCATCTTAGAAAAAAAATCATTTATTCCACATGCCATGGAATTTTATCTGAGAAGGTTGAAATAAGGGGAAAAAACCCAAATGCTTTGTCGCTTAGCTATCGCCATTCGCCAGGCAGTAACCAGCACGGTTTATTTGTGAAACAGCTGCAAAGAACCGTTCTAACTACATGCTGTTACTGTTGATTTAGCGCGTTTTGCCTGTATAAATTTTGGTTTAAATTTCGCAGATCTTACAGTTACAGGCTGGAGCCCCACGTTCTTTTCCCAATTTCAAACGCCGTTTTTTTTTCAATTTAAGCTAAATATAAGTAGAGATCAGTGTCATGAGAGAGCTGGCTAAATCATATTTCCAAAGTCTCTCTCGTCTCTCCCGCGTCGCGAGCAAACCTTCCCCCCACCACCGCGGCATGGCCGGCGAGATGCCTGACGCCGACGGCAAGCCCCGCTCGGCCTCCTCCGGGTTCCAGCCGTCGGCGCCGCCGCAGCCGCAGGCGCAGCAGTACCAGTACGGCACGTTCGGGGCCCCGTCCTCCGCCCCCGGTGAGGTCCCGCAGCCGGCGGTCGGGTTCCCCCAGCCGGCCCCGCCGCCGGGGCTCCGGCACTACCCGCAGCCGCCCCCGCCGTCCTACGCGGTCTACCCTCCGCTTCCCCCGCAGACGTACCCGGCCGCCGCGCCGTACTACGCCCTGGGCTACCAGGCCGTGCAAGGTACGGGAAACCCTAGCCCTGCAATTTCGATTATGTGTGATACGCTTGGATCGCCGTTTCGTACGATGGATGCACTGTCTATGAGAACCTGGAAGCATTTTTAGTGAATTTGTGTAGTGCTGTTGATTTAGTGCAAGCTGCCTGTTTTGAAGAAATCAGTACTAGTAGAGAAGCCCTGTTGGGTTTTTTCGTTTGTATGATGAGTAACTTGTTGAACTAAAAAAATGATTGAACCAGATCGAGCCTTGAAATTTTATACTTTTCGTTCACATAGACCGTACCTTATTCTCTTAGAATCTGTGATCTGTGCTCACGTGGTCACTTGGGGTAACAGAGCATGTTAACATCTCCTGAACCATTTTGATTTCTGAAATGCATGTTATATCAGAAGGCGATATATGTGTTTCTAACTTGCATCTCCCATATCCGCCATCTCTGTTGTTGAACTTGTAGTTTCATTTGCTGTTTTGTTTCATTTGTGGATTGGCGACTTCCTAGTGCCAAGCCAAAAGGGAGGGCACCTCAAATTTAGTTGATTTTAGGCTCAACAGTTGCTCATGCCGAACATTCACTTATGAGCAGGTAGTTTTGCTGGTGTTTCCATGTGTGAAACACATGGCATTGCTGTTTTATGATCAAACTTTAATTGGTCCTTGGTATTTTCATTTGCATTCTTTGGCCATGCCATTGTGAGGTTGGTAATTTTCTGTAGTTCACTAGAACAAACAAGTAAACAAATGCTCAAAGAGCAAACATACTTCAGAACTATTAATTAGAGATTAAATTCTAGTTTCTGAAGGAACTCTTTAGTACTATATGTGATCTCTGTGTGAAACATAATTCTTCTGAGTAATTCATCACAGGAATATATTATCTAAGAATGCAATGTACTGCTTGAGTGAATTCAGCATTTTTTGCTTTATGAAGGTTCGATACTTCCATTGATATGAATCAAATATTGTCCTAACCTGCCTTATGGATTTATCATGTTTATTGTTTCTTAGGTTACATTCCCGTTGTTGAAGGAAGGCCTGTGAGAATGCGACGCCTTCCATTTTGCGGCCTTGGCATGGGCTGGTTCCTGTAAGTTTCTCTGAACATTATCATCATGCGTTACCTTTCTGAACTTGAGCGCTGAGAAACTGCTGTTTCTACTGTTTGGAAAAGGTTTATCATTGGCTTCTTCCTCGCTGCCATTCCATGGTATATTGGAGCTTTTGTTTTGATATGCGTCCGAGTACATGATTACAGGGAGAAACCAGGATATGTTGCTTGCACTATTGCGGTAAGTCCTTTACACCACTGCAATGCTCTGTAATTTCAAAATTGCTGTGGCCTACGGGCCATTTTAAGTCCTTTACATGTTAAATTGTTAATTGTTCTGAGACTTAGGCTGTAGCTACTGTGTCAGATTTATTTTGACAGTTTATGCAAGCACAAGCCACAAAGCTGATAAACGCCACAACTGCATAGGTGGAATTGAATGCAAATAGATGAATAGCTGAAAAGGAAATCTCCTTTACCGTTAAATTTTAGAAGCTACTAAGTGATACTAGTAAGGAAGCATATCCGTGTGTTGCCATATTGTTCGACTAATAATTATACATACTCTTGTGCATAAAATTTGATAAGCATGGCGTAGAAATGGTAAAATAAAATTTCACGGTGATATCTACTAATCATGAAATTGTAAGTTTCTTCCGTTCTTTATAATTGAAAGCAGAAAGCCTAACTTTGCTTTGAATTTTTTTTGTTACCACGAACAGGCTTCGCTTGCTGCCATTGCTATCCTGCTTGGTGTCACAAGAGGAGAAGAGATTTGGTGAACCGGCTTACCGTAATGTAAATGCCTATTCTTCCCCTACTTTGTGGAGTTCTGGGTTGTACATGTATACATAGAAATGACAGTGTGGGACGGCGGAATTGTATTCTCATATTTGCTTTTTGATATATATTTCTAGTGTATTGATGTATTCTCGTAGATCATATTATATTCTCGTAGGTATTGATGTATTCGTCATATTTATTACTACCTCTATTTCAGGTTATAAGACTTTCTATCATTGCCTACATTTATATAGATGTTAAATAATTTAGGCACATATATGTCTAGATTCATTAACATATATATGAATGTGGGCAATGCTAGAAAGTCTTATAATACAAAGCGGAGGAAGTATTTATTTAAAAAATCATTCTGATGATGGTATTCATGTTCTTACTAATTTTTAACCTTAAATTCTACTCCCTCTATCCAAAAGTCTAAGGCTGTGTTTAGATCTAGGGTAAAAAATTTTGCCGTGTCACATTAGATATACGGACACACATTTGAAGTATTAAACGTAGTCTAATAGCAAAACAAATTACAAAATCCGCCTGTAAACTACGAGACGAATTTGTTAAGCCTAGTTAATCCATCATTAGTAAATGTTTATTATTGCACCACATTGTCAAATCATGGAGCAATTAGGCTTAAAAGATTTGTCTTGCAAATTAGTCACAATCTGTGCAATTAGTTATTTTTAAGCCTATATTTAATACTTCATCCAACGTTTGATGTGACGGGGTGAAAAATTTTGGGGTGGGATCTAAAAAGGGCCTAAGACATATTCCATTCTTTGGTTTTTCCAAAAGTCTAAGTTCTATTTGTAGTTACTATGTGCTGAATTAAATTGTTGATCGAAACTCAAGAAATTATTTTAGTACTTATTGGTTGTATGTCCATTGGTTTTATAACATGATGAATGAATTAATTGCTCCTAGATCTTAATGAAAAAGAAATAGGTCTTAGATTTTTTTGATGGAAGGAGTATGTATTAGTATAGTTTTTTGCTGGAAATCTGAAGTCAAGCCCAATAAAATCGAACATGGCTGGCCCATCATTCGGCCCAGGGTAGCCGTCAAAATATGGAACGCGAAATAAGAAATTTGGAAACCCAGAGGAACACAATCTCAAACTCACCTGGCGAAACAAGAAATTTGGAAACCCGCCTCGCCATCATCTATTGATCTCTCCTACACCGACTCGGATGCGGAGTCCGAACACAACACGAGGAGAAAACGCGATGGGCTCGATATAAACCGGGAAGACTTCATCCCCCGTACGATCCCGTATTCGTATCCGCTTGCGACTCTGATAGCTTCCCACCCATCATTCGATACCCTCGCGCCAATCCGCCGCCATGGGTGCCGCCTCCCGCCCCCGCCGCCAATGCAGGGCGCCGCGCCGTCTCGACGGCGGCGGAGGCGGCAGCATGGACGTCCACCCTTCCGAGCTCCTCCCCCGCAGCCGCTGCACGGCGCCGCGCCGCCTGGACGACGACGAGATGGACGTCCACCCTTCCGAGCAGGAGCTCATCGAGACGTAGCTCCGCCCACGGGTCGTCTCCGGCGACAAGCCGCCGCCGTCGTCGTCGTCGTGCGGGTTCATCATCCACGAGGCGGACGTGTACTCCGCCGACCCCGCCGACCTCACGAGGGGGTTCGCGCCGGCGGTGGCGAGGAGCAGCGGCGACGAGGCGTGGTACTTCTTCAGCGCCGTGAGGGGGCTCAAGGGCGGCCGCAAGGCGCGCACGGTGGACGACGGCGCCGGGTGCTGGCACTCGGAGGCCGGCGCGAAGCCCGTGCTCGCCGCCTCCTCCGGCCGCCGCCTGGGGCACCGGCAGAGCTTCTCCTTCATCACCAAGGACGACGACGGCCAGCGCGTCCGCTCCGGGTGGCTGATGGTGGAGCTCAGCCTCGACGTCGACGAAGAGGAGCAGCTGGTCCTGAGCAAGGTCTACTTCAGCCCGCGCGCGCCCGGCGCCAGGAAACCCACGACGGCGGCGGCGATGTCCCGCCACAAGAGGAAGCTGTCCACCACCGACATCGCCTCACCGCCGCGGCGCCAGAGACGCCACCGTGTAGTACCATCATCTCCACCGGAGGAGCCGAACACGTCCCCGTCGCCGGCGGCTGCGCCTCCGGACCAGCAGGAAGGCGGCGACGACGACCCCGACCGCGGGAGCATTTCGTGGTGGCTGCGGAGGGTGTTCGGCCTGACCGCCACCTTTACCGAGGAGGAGTCCATCGAGCTCAACCCATGGCTGAAGGACATCCTGAGGCCGTTCCCGCCTCCCTTGCCGCCGACGCCGCCGCCTCCATGCCCGAGCCCTCGCCGGAAGCTGATCGACATGCCGGAGATCAGGGAGTTCATCATGCGCGGGTCGTACCTCGGCGGTGGCCCTGCACCTCCGCGCTACGAGTGCGATCATCCGGCCATGGTGATGACCGGCGGCGATGATCAGCAGCAGCTCGATGAGCAGCGCAGAGACGATGTTGGCGATGATCGAGCTCATTACGATCGGGTGGACGGCCAGCTGCAGTTCGAACGGCACTACCTGCAGTTGTAATTGACAGCCGGTCTCTTGTTTTGATGTGAATGTAGCTTTGTATTTCAGTTTGTAGTGTGATTACCTGATGAAGGATGGTGTACAAAATTGTTGTTTTACACGGTTGCTGCAAGAGCCTGCAACGTTATCAGTGATTTTTCTGTACGAATTATAATGTTAGATGCTTAACACAATCTTAATTAGTCTTTGAAAGACGTTGAAGCAAACAACGCTTAGTTCGTTCAATTAATTCCCACCGTTGGTGATCCATGTTTTATATTCTGCATTACTCTTAATTTGGAAAACAAGACATTTACATGATTTCCACAGTGCGGTAGGGAGTCTTGGGTGTAAACCTATCCACCAATTTTCGAATTTAGTGTCATCAGTGATTTGTCGCTAGTCTTTTGTCTCTCTATTTTTTTTTGGGCAAGTCTTTTGTCTCTTTAATTGTGTGTTAGAAAGGCACTTACATCACATGTGTGGACATGTGTCTCTTCGGTGTAATAAAAAAAAATCAATCTCCGAAAAAAAAAACTCCCAAACTCTCTCTTTCAAAAAGAGGCTGCTAATGATTTCTCTAATTGAAATCACAAATGCTGAGTTGCTGACATGCACCATGTTTTTTGAGGAAAATAAAAAACAAAGCCCAAGTACTAGTTGTAACAAAAGCCCATTACAACGCCAACTAGGCCCACTAGGGTTCACCACCAAACTCGCCACCTATAAACGCTCCTCGCCATCCCACTGACGCCGCCTTCGCCCGCCGCCTCCTCCGCGCTCTCCCCCATCCTCCCGTAGGTTAGGCTAGGCTAGGGTTTCGAGGAGCTCGCGGAAATGGTGGCCTTCAGGGTAAGCAGCCGTTGCTTCGGTGGATGTGGCCGCCTCCGTGCGTTTGATTGATCTGTCCTCTCCGTGTGCGTGCAGTTCCATCAGTACCAGGTGGTGGGGCGCGCGCTGCCGACCCCCGGCGATGAGCACCCCAAGATCTACCGGATGAAGCTCTGGGCCACCAATGAGGTCCGCGCCAAGAGCAAGTTCTGGTGAGCCGTCATCTCGTCATTTTCTTGCGATTTTGTGGGTTTTCTTTTTTAGTTCATCTTATCTCGTGCGGTTTGCTGATTGGGGCGCTTGCCCGGTGTGCAGGTACTTCCTGAGGAAGCTGAAGAAGGTGAAGAAGAGCAACGGCCAGATGCTCGCCATCAACGAGGTACTAGAAATTCAAACGTATTGTATTTCGCCCTGATTGCTCCCTGACATTTGTAACCTAGTTCTAGATATTAATCATACTGATTGACCGCTAATAAGTGACACTGACACCTGTTCCAAATGTGGGGCATTTTTTTTTAACTCCAGCTCGTATGTTGTTTCCTTGTTACTGCACTGTTAGTGATCACTCTTTACTGGTGTTATAATACGTGCGATTTGCATGTACTCACTTTGTGTCAATTATTCAAATTGCCACACACTAGTGTTCCCTTGTTTTGTTAGGAGCTTGCTGTGTGTCATCTTCGTTTCACTAGTTATTTCACTTGTGTTGGGGTAGGGGGACCATCTGCATTTGCAAACGAGTTTTTCATATTTCTGCATCATGGCTTTGTAGGGGTTAAACCATTTTATACTTGTAAGAATTGGCCTTAACATAATACATCTTTAGAACACACATCAGCTGTGGATAGATGCCAGTAAATGGTGAAAAGCAAAATCATTAATCAGATATGACCCTCATTATATATATAATTATATTTAAACTCATGTAGCAGTCTTGTATTAGTCCTTATAGCTGTGTTTTGATCTAATGTAGCTTGTTGGGACTTGGGATGTTTATGGTGAATGATGTTTGAAACTCTAGCACTGATTGATGACTTCTTTCTCCAGAAATTTTACCCAACATGGAGACATTAATTTTTGAACACTAGATCACACTTTACTTCTAGTATGATTTCACATTTTTGCATGGATATAATACTTTCTTCTCTACCCCTCACAATTTCTGCCATGTCAGATCTTCGAGCGCAACCCAACCACGATCAAGAACTATGGCATCTGGCTGCGTTACCAGAGCAGAACCGGTTACCACAACATGTACAAGGAGTACCGTGACACTACATTGAATGGTGCCGTGGAACAGATGTACACCGAGATGGCTTCTCGCCACCGTGTGAGATTCCCTTGCATCCAGATCATCAAGACCGCCACTGTCCACTTCAAGCTCTGCAAGAGGGACAACACCAAGCAGTTCCACAACGGGAGCATCAAGTTCCCCCTTGTGTACCGCAAGGTCAGGCCGCCAACCAGGAAGCTCAAGACCACGTTCAAGGCGTCGAGGCCAAACCTGTTCATGTGATTGGTTACGAAGTGATGTGGATCTTTGTTTGGTAGTACAAGAGTTGGAAAGTTTTTCGTTTGTTGAAAGTTTTGATGCGCAAAAGACTTTGAGCATTTTGATACTTATTTATCGTTTGGAACATGCTTGGCAAACCTTATGCATATGGCGTTATTAGTAATTGGCAGACTTAAATCTTGCTTGGTGTTTGATATATATAATCTGCTTGGTTTGGTCGTGTACTAGGCTGACGCAGATCGGTTCTTTGGCGCACAAAATTATTGAGTGCATAACGATTTAACTGTCTCATCAGGGTTTGTGTTAATTTGCAAAATACTTGTAATTATGGTTGCAAAATACTTGCAAATGAGCATGAAGGCTGAAAAAGTAATGGTTAAGCCGAAATCGGATGGACGTGCAGATTGATTTGTCACAATGCATGCTCTCTCTTTCTTTTTAAACATGGCATATCAACAAAGAGGCATCTACAAAAAAAAAAAGCCTCTGATCCACATTCGCGCTTCAAAATCGTCTACACATTTTACATAGCTGGAGTGTGGACGGGGGTATTCACACTGTGGAGTCGGTACACAAGGAAGAAAATGGTAGAAACATCAAGATGAATTGATACGATCTGATTGCGCAATTGCACGTACCAAGGGTGCACAAAACTCAAATCCCATGGCCAAACACGTATAGGTCAGTATGTCCCTTGGAAGGATAGTCGATCCCGCAATGTATCGAAAATAGAAGCCGCGGCTGTGTTCTGTGCAAGTGTAAGCTTTAGGCGACCAAATAGCTCATCACTATCTTTGACCTGTGAAGCTGCTTCTGCAGCTTCCTTTGCCATCTTGATCCGTGCATATGCCTGAACAACAACGCCAAGGTAAAATCATATGTATATTGAAACAAACAACGGAGAGAAATACATGTTCAGAGAAGACAAAGAATACTAGGATGAGTTCTTCGACTTTTTTCTTTTTCAATTTGTTTTGAGCAAATGTTATGTTATACTCTCTCTGTCCACAAATATTAACCTCATCTTTTCGCTTATGTTCAAAATTTGAATTTTCAACCTTACATCTGGAGTTGACTTTGGGGTTTTTTCATCGAAAAAGTTTATTTTGCAGCCTTTGTTTTTATATCGCTAAGAACACATATATAAAAGTACTATCACAAATTATTTTTTTGTTTGCAAATATTTCGTTGGGCAGTAAGCATTTCTAGAGTACTAGTGTACTACTTTCTCAATCCAACCACACCTCATGATTCCCTGCATTTCTCGTTGCATCACTGGGTGTGATCGTTCCTAATGAGTTAAATACTCAGGGGCATCAAACTAATTTCACTTCAATCTTAATCTCTGCTAGAACTCTTAGAAGGTACTCCCTCCGGCCCAAACTATAAGCGATTTTGGTTCGATGGAACATATCTTAATACAACGAATTTGGATAATGAGCCTGCCCAGATTCGTCGTACTAGGATATGTCCCATCCAACCAAAATCCTTTATATTTTGTGACCGAGGGAGTAATATGTTAACTAAAATATACCAAAGATTGTTAGGTAATATGTGAACTAAGTCTAAAATATACCTCAGATCGTTCACGAGGATCTGTCAACTTTGGAATGTACTTAAGAGCTTCAGTTTTTTGACCAGCATCAATACATGCTTCCACAAAAGGTTTATAGCCTGTAAGGAAACCGAATATCAGCATACTAAAACATATTAATGATATTTCTTTACATGAATTAATATTGTGAATTTATTATCCCTGCGGAAGAACCATGAATGTTGTTCTCCAATCAGATTCTCATGAATAGATGATACATAATAGGTAAATCTACCTCCTGGTGGCCTCCTCTCTTTCGAAAACTTTTCCAACGCATCCCAGTTCCCAACTGTAGCTAAAGCACATGATTTGAGCCAGTACCACCTCTTATCAGGAACCTATGCAGCATAGGACAATAGAAAGATTACAATATTATTATTCATCAGCCACAATTTTCTTTTTGAAGGCATTTTCAATACCTTGAACTCTGACTTCACTTTGAGTGCAGCTCGTTCATTTCCCATGGCAATACATGTTTTGATAGTATCGCTGACACTAGAACCCACAAATATTGCTTGTTTTGTGGAAACTTCTAGTTCATGTTGTGATCTAGAAGCAAGAAAAAGGAAAACCAGAAAACGGCAAATTCAGAGAAGAGTGAGGTAACTATATCGCCCAATTTGTGAGAATAAAGTTTGAATCCAGATGCTTCTGTACCTAATTGGCTAACTAAATGTATAATGCAATGCCATTGCACACAGATATTATGGGAAGTAACTACAACATTATGAACCACTTAAAACAAATGCTCTAAAGTAAACTAGGAATTACTAGTGATTCAACGTAACTAACCTACAGCGTGAAGCAAATGGGGGTTTCATGATGGAGTTTGAGTAAATAGTGAACGAGCTCAATGACATACCACCCGCAAAGTAATAAAGTGGCACATGAATTTTAATTATGCTTCACTTTTTCCCCTCAAAAAAGTATGCATATGCCTCAGTTTCCTGATGTCCCAAAGCTTCAATCCATTTGATGTATCATTTTGTAAGAACCAGGGACAAGGCAAAGTTTAGGTTTTATCCTTATTGCATGGTATGATTAAGATTTCCTATTCCTTATGATCACCAGTTTTTCTAAGATATCAACTACAAGAATTACATAAATTCATCCATCATCCCTGTACTAGGAATGTGGAAAAGGTCAGATATTGCAAATTATGGGCTCTAATGAATCATCACATACCTTAGCAATTTTGCATGCTCTTCAGAAGCTTTGGATTCAAAAACATGCTCCTTGGTCTCAGCAAAAAGTCTGTGGGCCTGCTCAATGAGCCGAACTTGTGGACCATGGAGAGGAGATCCCTTGCTTGCCATTGGATTCCTCTCCAATTCCCTTGACTCTTTCAATAAAAGAAAGGCAGCATCCTGCAATTTCTCTCGATAGTTTAGGAAGTAACTCATGCTAGGGGATATAACTAACTGTAGCATGTTAAGTTTGTAGAAAAAGGAGCTAATTGTTTATTTCATGGTAAGCAAAATGGAAGACTAAGATAACATATGATTTTCAACTGAAATAATGAAAGCAAACTAGATATGTAGCAAACATCACAAACAGTAATAGTTATGCACCTACCTGAAGTCTCCCTGTTGATAGAAAGAAGTCCTTTAGAGCTTCATGCTTGGAATGTCTGTGAGCAAAACAGAAACATATGCAACCATGTTGAACCAGAGCTATGCATATAAAAGATATAACGCAATAATCAGAAACAGGACAGAAGCATCACCTTGCATATGCCATAAACAAATCACGAGCCAAAGGCCTTGCATTGATTACGCCAAAAAAATCCAATGGAGCACTCTGTAAAATAATAATTTATTAAAGTGCATTAGTAATGACACAGCGAGAAGTACTTAGAGAAACAAACATTATTGTTCACTAGTAAGAAGAAAGGTGATATTAATAATCAACACATATTAATTCCAAGTTGCATCTTCTATGGAAATATCATCCACTCAAAGGATGGGATGGGATTTACATACCTTTTCTACAGCTACCTTCTGCCAGATATGGAAAAGCACAAGGTACACAAGATCAGTATCCCCACTCTCAATTGCCTTTGACAATGCCTTGTCTTGTTCATCAATGCTTAGCAGTAACGGAATCTGTGAACATGAAACAAATTTAAGATTTAAGGCAGGTAGCATTTTCTGCTAAACATGTATAACTGTTTAAGTGTTTATTCCTAGTTTACTCATGCATGTTAGTTTTACATGCACTTAAAAAATCTCATGTTCCTTACAATGTTTAGCATATTAACCACTAAGAGACCACAAGCTGCAGCTGAACAGGTTCAACCCAGCTCACTGGATAAGGTACTGTCCACATAAAAGTGTATGATGGTAACAAAAATAAAACCCCCATTTTAAGAAAAATGGTCTTTCTTTATTGATTACGTCCTAACTGCCAACTCCATTTGCACCTATAACAAGGAAGGCGATGATACTCATATTAAACTAATCAACCGCACCATATTGAATAGCAGAAAGTTGCTCAGCGTCATTGTTCCCTATTTTCTTTTGAAATTACTTTTCTTCCCTGTACATTTGTGAAGATTATCATGTTCGTTCATTTTGGTCCATAAACATCCATAAAGCATGATGTGCCACTTGGCTCCATATCACCTACACGGATACTTCACTTTACACTATTACTAATCAAGGAGCATGTTACATGTTAAAGCTATTCCATAAAACAGGAAAAATCCAGAACAGTGCTTGAAAGGCTCAGTTGCTCAATCAAAAAGTTGTGATGCATATCCACCTAAGTCACTAGCCAAAAAGGAAACTTGCCTGCTTTGATGATTGGGACTCATGGTCAACAAGCATGGCAGCCAACTTTCGCCTGCCACTGTTATCTGCATGAGCTGCTACTGCAGCATATGATATGCCCTTGCATAACCTGAGCTGCAACAGAAAGAACTTGTAAAGCAGGGAAGAGCAAATGCAACTGAATATGTATCTACCAGGCAATCCTATCAAGTATCTACTATTTTCTGAGTATGATTGTAAGTAACAAACCTTGTCAAGCAAGCCCTCAAGAAGGACTGTATCTGGGATAGCTGCTGATGCTGTTATCTTCTCACATGCCCAATGCATAATCACGACCTCCTATGAGGATTTAAGGTATACACGGAATGTTATCATTTCACTGAGAAAATCTAATATAATCCTGTAACTAGTGAAATAAATCTACAAATTCTGCCTGTATATCAACCAAGTGGCAAGTACAGCAATATATACTGGTTTATGAAGACTTGATGTGACTACCAGTCACTTCACTAAACACAAATTAAGACAGACTTATATCTTACTTTCAGAACATGTTATGCCACAATTAACCGATAAACAAAAACTCAAACGGAACTTGTGCAAAAAAAAGTAAAGAAAGCTAATTGAAGTTTCATTATGTGTATTGGAAGTAAGTTTTGCATAGACTTATGACTTAAAGGTACACTGCTTGTCCATGGACAAGGAAAATTTCTGAGATAAAAAAAAAATAAAGAGAAAGAGGTTACCGGGTTGAGGTTGAGGTACTCAGAGATGCGAAGTGCCAAAAGGTGCTGGTTGGCATTGATCAGACGTCCAATGAGTACCGGTGCAGTAAGTAACTGAGAGAAAGACGTTCCATAAGATATAATCATATTGTAGCTAGATATGAATATTTACAGGAGAATCTGAGTGTAAAACAAACCTTGTACTGCTGAATGGTAAGTGGCATCCCAATCTGAGGATCACGTACAGCATTTAGAACCCGTAATGTTTTGCACATTTCTTGAAAACGTTCATGTGGAAATTGACTGCCAAAACCAACTGGGTATCAATGCCAAGTTCAAAAATAAACTATCTTACACAAAAGAATACTAGCACCCAAAAGAATGCTCTGAAAAGGTAATGCTCAATGGCACTAGTTAACGAAATCTTCGTAAGATCCATGTAGTTAAGATAAACATGATTTTCTCTTATAATCTACCATGGTGTGTGAAATGCAATAACAGCAGTAAGGTATGAAACTATTTTACAATTTAATAAGACATGACATACACTACTAGATCATTAGTGCTGGCTACAAAGGGTATCACAGGTGGTTGACTAATTCAGAAAGTTAAGAATTTTATCATAAGGATGTGTCATGCTATCAATAACATGCTTCAATTTTGTTATATATTTGTCGACAAATTTTATCCTAAAAATTTGACAGATGTAATTACAGTACAATCATAGTGTAATTACACTGTAACTTGCATGTAATTTCACTGCAACTTACATGTATGTAACTTGTATGTAACTTTCACATGATCTTGAACCGTTAGATTTGTTTTAAGATTTGTGCAAGTGAGGAAGGAAAAAGGTCACAGCACACACACATGTGAGAGGATTCATTCCCACGACCTCCGTTTCACCGAAATAGCATGTTACATAGAGATTTTTGAAAGACATTTTAGTTACATGCAAGTTACAGTGTAATTACATCACGATAGTACTATAATTACATTTTTCAAATTTTTAAAAGAAAATTTGTCGATAAATGCGTAGGTGATCCCAACATGCTTAGCCTGAATTTTCAGCTACCATATTATGGTGTGTTTGGTTTGAAGATTGGTTCCATCCGTCATGGTCTACTGGTCTTACATACCAAGGACAGCTGCTGCCTGATATATTTTGATGAATAAGTCAGTCCTGGTGATTGGTTTGTGGGGAATCTAGGCAGAAGTGGCTTTGGTGATGGATGACACGGACTTGTGACGCAGACCATACAATTCGTATTCGGTTATTTAGATTAAACACAAATCAAACACACTGTTGGTTAGAGAATCTGGACAATCTAAGCAAGGCTTCAGGTAAGCTCCTACAAGACCTAAAGCCTCAGTACAGAGGAGATCAGGAGAAGCTTTTATTGTACTTCCTCCGTTTCACAATGTAAGTCATTCTAGCATTTCCCACATTCATATTGATGTTAATGAATCTAGACATATAAACGGAGGAAGTAGTAAACACAGCAATAGCTTATCCCAAGTTCCCAACTAGACTGATTCTTTTTAGCACTGCACGAGATTTCAGGAAATAAACTTTTGTTCTGTATGCACTATGCAGTTACTTCAGAAGTCTTGCGCATATTTGTATGCTGCTACTTCTGGAGTTTTAATATAATAGTAAGCCTTTGTACGCAGTTATTTCAGGTGTCCTGGCATTATATTATCTACCTAATGAGCATTAATAGTCAAAACTGTGTTCATTGCATCATATCTTACAACAATAACTTTCTACAGAGCAGAATAACCAAGAATGCTCTACAGAAATGATCTCCTCACCAACTGATAGTTCGAGATGCATTTTAATGGTTCTGGTGCAAGCAATAACAAAGAGAACTTAGGGAATGATCCATGTAAGCATTCCATATTACAGATCTTCCAAAAAATACACAAGCTATTTATGGACAGACAGGTGATGGACCTCACTCGAACAAAATAAAACACACTTAGATTTAGAAAGTACCAGCCAAGGCTGTATATTGCACATAATTTCAGTTTGGTCTAAGTGATATGTATGGATTCCAACAAAAGCAAGATTACAAACGAGAATTAAACATAAAGGTATCAAGCAAAAGGCGATGAGATATAGGCAGAAGAAGTTAACCTGCAGAAAGCCAGGCCATAAGTAGCAGCTCTCAGTAACGCATGTTGGCGTGAAATATCAAACTCATGGCCAGCAGCATCTATACATGCTTCAATTGCCTCAGGCAAGGAAGAAGAAATCAACTGATAATTATCGTATGCCTGCAAGTGTGAATTATTGTTAATGCCACGTGTTTGATTTTCAGCAAAAAAAAAAAGGTCATTTGTGAGATGTCAAAAGAGCAAATTCCCAAATAAGTTTTTTTTTACAGCATATGAAATAGCAAACAACCCTGATATAATTCACAAGTTGCATACTATGAATGCCATAAAGTGCACTAAGCTAACACCAAGTCCATGACAAATGTAGAAGGCAAACATGCACTGCACAAGACATAGGTATCTACATAAGAAAAGGAATTAAACAGTACCTTGGCACTTTGTTTGTCATAATGATCTCTAGCATCATACAGCAATGCTGCTGGGGACATGCTTCCAATGCCAAAAATTGATGTAGTGGAATCAGGGACTCGGTGTAGGAATTCCATATTTGAGTTTGAGAGGATTCTTACACCATCACACTCTGGAATGAGCTTTATGGGTTCATCGTAATTATACAGCACCGGATCTCCATTTGGACCAACCATCAAAAGAGCTGCTGACCAGTAAAGAAGCACGCTGTCCAATCCACACCAAGCTATTTGATCTGGTGGCAATGCGGACTACAAGATTAAAAACAAATAATGAGTAGCTGTGCAAAAGTGTACTTATACTATCAGTAAACCATACTACCGCAAAATAAACACAAAAAAAAGAGCATATATAACCTAGAATTGCTTTGTTTGCATGCTATGGCATCTGCCCATGATTGTTTAAAGACCTAGGATCAACAATAAATTTAAAAGAATTATCACAACTGCTGCACAGGTTGCAGTTCTCGTTGAAAATAAACAGTGATAACAATAAGATTACACCAAGAATGATAAAAAAATAATATGATTGTTAACTCGGTGAGCGTTGCATGTTTGTTGAACATATATGCATCTTTGATTAACCAGAACAGGTAAGGGGGGAAAACTACTACTACCCTAATGTATTTGAGGTGCTATGTTATCAGACACAAAACAGCAATGTAAACTAGGAAACAAATTAGCATATTCACCGCCACTTCCTCAAAGTAGTATTAACCTCATTAGATCCATTCAGTATTTCAGTTAGCTGTAGTTTGAATCAATCTACATCGACTGCTGCACGCCTAGAACGAACAGAGTAGACAACACAATGCATATAAACAACTTACATCACACTCATACTCGAAGATTATCTTGGAGAAATCCGTAGGGATGACGAGCAGGCGCCCATCGTGCGCAAATGCGGCAAGCAGCTTCCCATTGGGGGAAACTGCCATCTTCTGCACAGGTCCAATCTCCAGCTCCAACCCGAGTGTCTGCACATCATCCTCATCAACCGCCAGCACTCGATCACCAACCGCAAGCAGTACCTCTGGGCTCCCGGACATGACAAACTGCGGCTCCACCACAGCCATGCACAGCACCTGCTCGTCCTGGCCAACGCAAGGGTCGGCGAACTCACGCGGGTGAGGGTCCGCGGCGTCGATGTCCGTGGTCACCACGACGCGGTTGTCCTCCGTGAGGACAGCTACGCCGCCTCCCCAGAAGGCAGCGTCGGCAACGCCGCCGGAGGACGTGGGGAGCAGGGGCACGGGGGTGGGGCTAGGGTTGGGCTTCAGATCAGGGAGGCGGAAGCGGAGGAGGGACCCATCGGAGAGCAGCGCGACGAGGTTGAGGGAGCTGGAGAACGCGAGCGAGTGGAGGCGGGGGAGCTGGGGCGGCCACGGGGAGGACGCGATGGGGTGGCCGGAGGAGGAGTAGAGGAGGAGGCGGCGCCGCGACGGCTCCGAGTGGAGCTGCACGATCTTCGAGTCGTCCCGGACGGCGGCGATCGGGCCCCCGAACGGCGCCGCGGCGACGATGTGCGTGGAGAGGTCGAGGCGGCCGAGCACGCCACCGCTCCCCCCGCCGCCGCCGCCGCCACCGGAGGTGGAGGACGAGGACGCGGCGGCGGCGGAAGGGGGCGACCAGGGCAGCGGGGAGTAGACGGTGATGCGGCGGTAGAACCGGTCGGAGAGGAGGTCCCACTCCGCCGCGACGGAGACGGAGGAGGACATCGCCGGCGGCGAGGCGGCGGCGGCGTCGCGCGCGAGATGGGCTGTGAGGAAGGAGGTGGACTGTCTCGGGGATCGAGACGGGACGGTTAGTCCCCTGACATGTGGGTCCAATCGGATGGGAACGAGCTCCACACGGTAGCCCATTGAAAAGCCCAGATGAGACGACAATGAGCAGCCCACGGATGCGGGGTGCGGGAGAAAGCGGCCCAAACAAACTAACCACACAAGCAAAATTATAGGAGTAGAAGTAAAATTGCTAAGATCCTCGATCTGCAAGTTGCACGGGCTGCTATTATAGACTACCTAGTGGGGGATTACCACGTGAAGTTTATAATTCATTGGGAGTTAGATTTAATGCGCAACTCTGAAATTTTATATGTCTATATGTAACATTATATGTAGAAGTATATTTATATTTCATATACAACTCTTAAGTTCTATTTCTATAAGATCTGGATTTCATATACAACCCTTATATTCTAGTATTACTATATGCTTAGATTTTATATACAACTCTTGACTTCTATTTCTCTAGACATAATTGAAATTTGTATACAACTATATCAATTAATCTATACTTTTAATTTGGACACACCATGATCTAATGTTAAGATTTTTTTCTTTGATTAATGTTGGGTGAGACGCGCTGATGATGGTGAATACGAATTTTCGTGGCAGGCCGCATTGCGCCTTTCGTGGCAGACTAAATACGAATGATAATAGGGTCAGGAAATGCTGGGCATCTGATCCGCATTGCGCAGATTGCCCAGCTATTGAATCAGCAGACCACATCGTTCTACGCTGCAAGTTGGCATCTGAGATTTGGAAGAAAATCAACCTATTTGATCAGGCCGCCCATCGTTCTACGCTGCAAGTTGGTATCTGAGATTTGGAAGAAAATCAACCTATTTGATTAGGCCACCCAGAGTGCAGATATACTCCAGTTCGTTGAGGAGGGACTGTTGGTTACACCGGCGCATCTAAAACCTGGATGGCCTATTTGCTTCGCTGCTTGTTCACACAATTTATGGAAAGCACGCAATCAAAAAACATTCAACCAAAGAGAGTATACAGCGGCTGCCGTGATGCACCAAATCAGAGAATGTCTGCAAATGTGGGAGAACCGCGTCATGCCACAATGCCGGACTCTAATGCGCAGTTGGGCTGCCTTGCTAGCATAGCAGCTATATCTCCCTACTCTTTTTATGTTCTTCTTTATATTGTTTTCTTTTTCGTTTCTCTCTTCTTTCTCCCTTCTTTCTTCTTCCTTCCTATATCTCCCTACTCTTTTTATGTTCTTCTTTATGTTGTTTCTTTTCAGTTTCTTTTCGATCTTTGTACTTCTGTTGTAACACCTTGACTACCATTAATAAAATGGTTATAAGGTAGAGCCTCTCTACCTTTTTCAGTCAAAAAAAAACATATCGCCGATGTCTGATGAGATGTGGTGGTTGCGATGGCGAGCATCCGTGAGCAGAGCGGCGGTGGCAACGAGAAGACCAGGCACACACGAGTTACTTAGGGTGACAAGAAGAGTAGGCAAATAGTAGTTCTTAATGCGGGGACAATGGTGGAGCTAGTCATGGTGGTGACAACCCCCATAGTTGAGGAAGAGAGGCAAGATGAGAGGGAATGGACGAAGGAAGAAGATTGGGAGAAAAAAAATAAGGACAATTATATTGAATCATGGACAATGTGGCAAGTGAGAGGATACCCACCTCAACTTTGTGGCAAATTTACTAAGCCACTTAACTATGTGAAAAACTAATTAAGTATGCTCCAACTTTTGAGGCAAACTACATAATTTTCCCTTTAATGTTAGGCCATGTTTTTTTGGAAGCTCAAGATGTGACGAGCAAACCGGTGAGAATATGGATAATTTGGGTCTAATATTTTTACTAGCATTTTATTCACAGTATATGAAAAAAAATTGGGTTGTTTGGAGGAGCCAGGGATTCTTGAAGGAGAATCTCAATTTCTATTTCAAGCTATTTCTGTTTATGCATGTTTTTTTAAGATAGTTCTGTTTATGTATGTTGGCTGGATGACTTAGCAGTTCTCATGTCTACCCTACCCCATGATGCATAATCTCTTTTGACGTACCACCTTTCCTATCGTATCAAGCTTTTGACGCGGGTAGCAATCAATTTTTATCATGGGATAAAGCAATTGAAAAGGGGAATGGAAACAGTATTCTGATTTTGTAGAGCATCTCTAGTTTTGGGTCCATATGCAAGCAAAGGGGAGAACAACTTTCATGGATACTATACTCGCTTCATCCTTCACTTTTTCCCCATTCATGCCTAAACTATAATTGACTGATCAATCTTAAAGAAGTTTAATGAACGTACGGTATCATGATACGACCTTAATTACAGATGGCATCACATTGTTTTTTAACTGCAAAGTATGTCTGAACTATCTCTTTTGATAAGTTAGAACTAGAAGCATGTTATGCGACATTGATATCAAAACTAGAGGTAGCTAACCGTGATAGTGTTATGATATACTCATATATGTGTGAGTTTAGTTTTTTTGCGAAATGTACAAATAAAATATTCTCCCGAGAAGACGTAGTATATGTGTATATGAACCATATACATATGTAGCCTAGTGATTACAGTGACCTGAGTAGCACCCCAAGGTCCTGAGTTTAAATCTCCATAGAAGCGAATTTCAGATTGGGTTATTTGAGGCTAAGTTTCTATTTGATAGGCTAAGTTCCTAATTTAAAAAGGCCGCATATATCCAGTTGGATGTAAATGCTGGTTAAAAAAAATACCCTTCTCTAAAAAAAATAAACCATATACTACTCGCATCAACATAATTAAATCCTGAGTGGTAATTCAATCATTTAGGTTTAGTCTGCAAGTAGTGTTTTATTTACAGCCATCATTGGGCATAAGAATGCCCTTTTATTTTCCTTCACTTGGAGAAAATTAAGTTGCGGTTGTTTTTTAATAATGGATTTTCATTAATTCAGCCTCAATATCCACAAAGGATATACACAAATAAAAGGATATAAAAGCACTTAGACTCATACCTTAACAAAGAAAACATACAACCATAAAAAGAAAACCCTACGACCTCGGCACATCCCTCCTTTCCAACACCTCTCCTGAAACCGTCATATTAGGCGAGTGGAAATCGTCTAGTCGCCACCGCCCATAGTGCGTCGTTGCTACAAACCTCCGCTGGTGCCATTTTCATCCGCTTCAAATTAAGCAGCGGTTGTTACCATATCAAATTGTTTGAAGACATGCAGATCAAAAGGCCAACTGGTGCAATTACAAAAATAAAGAAGAAATACACCAGCAACTAAAATGTCTTTATCTCAACCTATTGGACTTGCAAAGCAAGCATCTTGGCTACCTGAAGAATTGATTTTTTTTTTTGCTTCACTTCAATTCTGGCAGCATGTACAGTTACAACTTCCAAGTTCAGTGAACTTCACTGACCATTTGTCTTAGAATGTAGATATATTCAGATTGGGCTCACAAACATGAAATTTCAGCAGCAAATCCGAAAGATAACCGAGGTTCTAGCGAGCATAGTTGGTATGATCGTTTTGCAAAGCAACTGCAATTTGCAAACAGATTTATAAAGAGCCCTCTAACAATTGTCTCTGGTGTTATTTGCCTCCCTTTTTCTTTGTGTACAGATAAAGCTAAACTGATCATTCTTCTTTTAAAACGGATCTGTTGTCACTTAGTGGAAAAGATACACTTAACATTGCATGTTGTGCTTATACTATTATCTAAAAAAAGAAACACTGAAATGACAGAGTTTGTGCAGGGGTCAGGAAAGCACTTTTTTGTAACAAACTTTTGTAATCATTCTCTTGAAACTTATTAGGTGCAACATACATGAAAATTCACCAGCTCATCCGATATTCTGATCACTGAAACAAGGATAAAAGAGGACAAGCATGTTGCATGTCTTCAGATTAACATAAATGCAGAATGCAGTGCCTATGGAAGCACATCAATTGGACAGAAACTGTGGGGGACCTGTATGGGCACTAGCATATACAATTATACATGTCATCGCAAAATCAGCATCACAGTTTAACAAAAAAAAAAGAAATATTTCGAAGCATCTTACAAATCTCTATTATTCATAAGATAAAAACTGCTAATCCACAATCCTAATCAGAGGGCACTAATGGGTCTCAGCAGTTTATTCTAATCCTGGACCCAACATGAACCGATTTCCAGTGGCGATCATTGGTGAATTGCGGTTGTTGGAAAGCGGATGGCGAGCATCATTACGCTTCAAATGAAATGCATTTTCATGATCTAGCTATATAGCTAGCTACCGACTCCCTTATATTCTAAGAAAGTAAGTTGGTGATCAAGCTGCAGCAACCGTCCGTGTATCAGACATTCAGACTATCAGTGCTTGCAACAGCTTGTTGGGCTGAACTGTATCAGTTTTCTGCAACAACATGTTGGTCTCAATTGTCCTAGTTTGTGTGTACCACAATGCAAGATTGGAAAATACGTTGCATATCGTATTCTTGGAGCGATATGTTGGTCTCAAATCCAACTGTATGTAAGTTGTAGTGTTCTCTGGTACTAACAAGATTCAGAGTTGTGGCATTAGGGCTCTGTATGTAGTGCTAACTTTTTAAAAAATGTTCAAGCTTTTTGGGATTTAGTGTTGCTCACTGCTAAAGTGAAAGAAATGTGCAGACCAAGATCAAATGCTCTGCCTACACATCTGCATAACTTGTGAAATGAGCTTTTACCATTGACTTGTGAAAAAGCCAGTTTTATCACTGCATGCAGAGATGAAATGGAACATACAAACAATATAGGACTCATTATCTTAGGTGTGTTTAGTTCACGCCAAAATTGAAAGTTTGGTTGAAATTGGAATGATGTGATGGAAAAGTTGGAAGTTTGTGTGTGTAGGAAAGTTTTGATGTGATGGAAAAGCTGGAAGTTTGTGTGTGTAGGAAAGTTTTGATGTGATGAAAAAGTTGGAAGTTTTAAAAAAAAAGTTTGAAACTAAACAAGGGCTAAAGCATCATGGGATTGACTGAACTTTACACCTTACAGAGGAGAAGAACCATATAATGGTGGCATGGAGACCAAAGGCTGCAATGCATTGAACTGCTCAACCTTTTTCACTGGTCTTTCACTGGCCATGCATGGATCCATGGACAAACTGAGCATTAGACCAGGATCTAATGAGTGAGACTGCTGCCTTCCAAACTCCCAAGTATACAACTCATAGCATGTATGCCATTTGGGAGGCCGGCGTTTCAGTATGCATGCTTTGCGAGTATATAATTTTGCCAGCGTGTGACGTTTGAGTTGGAGATTTGTACAACATTATCTTGTCAATTATCGGTAGTCTCCCATGTCTGATTCTGCCTTGGCTACTTAACGTTAGGCAAAGCTGGGAGAAATGATTGTATTTGGGAGTATAAAAATGGCCAGTCATTATAAGCCTTGTCGCCTAATTGCTGTTCTTAAGCACTTTATCTAGCTCTTTCTATAAACCCATCATAGCAAACTTTAACTTTTTTTAGAGTAAAAGCGCGGCATAGACAGTTTGATGTAAACATTAACTAACAACTTAACGTTATCTCTGATCTTGTGGATTCCTTCATTATTCAGAAAGTAATGGTTCTGAAAAAAAAAAAAAGGAAGTGCAAATCTTTCACTCGCGGAATTGCAGGCACCAGCATACACCAACTAATTTCACACTCCATCCGCAATTGATCTGCCTACGATGAGTAACCGTTACGGACAATCAGCTCATTTGGTCACAAAACGGTTAGTTCTGTTAAGGCATGATTACATTTACACGCATCACTTTTTTTGATGCATCACTATCACATATGCACACCATCTTGACATACATATATACCGTCACCACTTCACACAGTAAAACTCCACTCGTCATAATACTCACTCGACCACTGCAGCGTCAAGAAACGTAACCAATGATCATATGGTTTTACAAGTAAAAACATTGAGCTCCAAAAATGAACAACTGCGAGCGATAGTTAGATGCAAAAATCCTCCAGGAAGAGAAGAACGAAGTTCTCAAAAAAGAAAGAAAGAGAAGAATGAGACAGTCAGAGTAGGGCTCTTGACATGGACTCGTTAACTGAACTTCCATTAGCAACGACTTGCTAGTAGCTTTGCGGCTTCATACGCCATGCAAATCTCCCAGCCCTATCAATCTTTTCATCTTTCCCTTTGCAGCCAAAAATCACACGGATCAAAATGAAAGCTACTCCGTAGCTAGCCAGGAGGTATCTTGGCAAAAGCCATACATGGATTTATTGAAGCATCAAACATGCAGACAGAGAGTTGGTGAGAAGGCAACACCAAATACATTGTGAAATGTGTTCTATTTATGTGAAAGGGCATGTAGCGGTGTAGCCTAGTGGTTGCAGTGGCCTGAGTAGCACACAAGGTTCCGAGTTTAAATTTTCATAGGAGTGAATTTCAGATTGAGTTATTTGAGGGCTAAGTTCCCTATTTGATAGGCTAAGTTCCTAATTTTTTTTAAAAAAACTTTATATATCTGGTTGGATATAGAGGCTGGGTAAAAATACCATTCTCTAAAAAAAAGGTGTTCTATTTCCCATTTTATACTGCTTGGGGAGTAAAAAAGTGTTCCATTAAATTTGAAAAGATGAGTTCTATCATTTCTACAACGAGATGATTTACAATGATATTTATTGCTATAGAAATCAATCTAAATTGTAGAAATCCAATGGATCGTATATATTTATGATATCACTCCAATTACTAGTAGTAGAATGTTGAGGTCACTTTTACTAGTGATAATGTTGGTAATAGAATACCATGAAAAATGTTAAAAAGCGAATTTCTGCTACCCCAGACACCTGGCCGGCACTCCAGAACCAAACGTTTGATGACTCTCTGCTTTTGCGTTTCAGCTGGAAGCACAACTTCGCGCGTAGCTAGCTTAGAGCAGCAAACCGTTGCTCACCGCACCGCACCGCACCGAACCACCACAGCAAAAGCCTCTCTCTCTCTCTCTCTCTTTATTTTTTTTTAATACGCAAGAAGCGCATCTTTGTATTAAGAAGAAATAAATGTACGTACAAAACAGGCCAAAAAGACGAAGCAAGGGGATAGAGTACAGAGGAGAACCAAAAGACTAATCTCCAACTAAATTTTACGACCCTTCTCCACTAACATGAGCTCCTCTCTCTCTCTCTCACCTTCCCGGCGCGGCCGGCCTACCACAGCCATCATCACGCCATCCACGGAGCGGCAAAAGCTCGGCGAAATGCGCCCAAAAGCGCCTCTCATTTCATCAGTATGATCACCACCCCCGGTTCCCACACGCAGCAGCGCAAAGTCCACCCCCGTAGTATATTTGCAGGAGCTTTCGCTGCTGTGCTCATATCAAAATCTCCCCCACGGGCCACACGCGGCGACACCGGCACACCAACTGAGCCCTCGTTGCTTGATATAGATCATTAGATCGTTCCCATTGGTTGGCTACAAAGGTTGTTCGCCATCTTCGTCTCTCCTGGGACTGGTAGCCACCGCATTGTGAGGAGAGATTTCAGAAGGCGATTTTTGGTTCTTTAGTTCAGAGTTCAGGCAGGTTTCTCTTTCATGTTCTTGGGATTCTGTGGCAGTGAGAATCTTGGCAGAGAGGAAGAAAGGATGCCTTTGAGGTAGCATGAGGTGAGGTGAGTGAGTGAAGGAGAGGGGATTCATACGGATTTGCAGCCTCTCTTCTCCTGCCATTGTTCAGTCCGAGGACTGCATTGTGTGTGGTTGCCCTTCTTCAGTTTAGCAGTTAATTTCACTGCCAAGGCTTGATTTGAGGGTTCGTTTTTGAGGAACTCTTGGTGACTTTTATGTTCTAGGAGTGGCTGAATTGACTAGCAAAATGTTTGTATCTGCAAGAAAGAGACTGTTCTTTCTGTTCATAAGTTCTCTACTTCTGTCGCTTCTTGCGCCGTCTGATGGCTCATCAAACTCCACAGCGAATCTCAATCAAAGCCACAACAAGACCGGACGTACTTTGGAGGTATCAATATTTTTCTTGCATCCAAGATTTCTCAATCACATTCTAATTTGTACTAGTTCTCAATTATATTCAGGGAATAAGTCTTAAGTGTTTCTTTTAATTGTTTTGGTAAAAAATTTGTTAGCTTGCTGATTGCAACAATTACGTTTCTTGCAGATGACACCCAAAGTATTATTTCAACTCAAGATGCATGCATTGTTCCACTGGTCTTCTTTTGGTTTCTTGATGCCTGTAGGGATAATACTAGCCAGAATGTCAAGCAAATCTAAAAGCGGCAGGAGCATCAGAGTCCTTTTCTATTGCCATGTCATTTCTCAGGTCTGCACCTTCTACAGGACATAACAGCTTTGCTTTAAAGTTTAAAATGTTCCCTTTTCTTGTTATTTTATAGAACACCAGATAATATTGTGTCTGATTGAGTTTGCAGATTGCAGCTGTCCTTCTTGCTACCGGCGGTGCGGCTCTTTCACTAATGAACTTTGAGAATTCATTCAGTAACAGTCACCAGAGAGTAGGATTAGCATTGTATGGATTCATGTGGCTCCAGCCGCTTATCGGTTTCTTCAGACCAGAAAGGTAGAAGAAAACTACTTTCTCATGATTCTTACAAAGTTTTGTCTCTAGGATTTATCCTTTTTGTGTTTCTGCAGAGGTGTTAAGGTAAGGAGCTTGTGGTACTTCCTCCACTGGCTTCTTGGCATCGCAATTTGCGCAACTGGCATTACAAATGTCTACATTGGCCTTCACACATACCATGAGAGAACCACAAAGAGTGTGAAGCTTTGGACCGGCCTCCTTACTTTCGAGCTCTCCTTACTGCTTTTCTTCTACCTCTTGATAGACAGATGGAGCTACATGATGAAGCAAGGAAATGCCCCTATCGAGCAGCTAAGACCTACCGACAATCGCAAAACCTATCCGACAACTCTTCGGAAGGAATTGGGTATGGTGCAAGAGTGAGATGCCCAAATGAAAAGACAACTTAGGAGGGCAGGTGCTGTAAAGTTTGCTGAGAAAGATGGTAATGCTGCTCAATGGTTTGGTAATTTGTTGGTTTGAGAGGTGTGCCTTGAACACTGTACAGTTCTATACTTTATTGAGATTGAAGAGGATTATGGAGCCCTCTGGTGCTGTATCTTGTGCTGTGCATTTAAGATTTTGTTACAAACCACCGTTTGTACTGTTTGTGAAAAAGTACAGATATGCAACATTTATATTTCTCAGGCAAGAAATTATTGTCTACTACTATTTACGTTCTTTTTGCAGACGTTTTTTTTTTCAAGTTTGCAGGGTCAGTAGAAGCAACAGTGCAACACTTTCCCATGCCAATTCTAAAATGATTACAAATATGAAATTATAGCACATATATTATTTTGTAAATCTATATGCAAGTATGCAAGTTGAATCTCTGTATAACATCATACGATTGTTTCAGTTTCAGAACATCATTATCGTCGTGTTTAGATCCATTCTATCGATGCTCCCTTGTGCTAGATTTATGGCACATCAAATTCTTACAAGTTACAGCATCACATATACCGTAGCAAGCAGATCAAAATGGACCAAACCTACTTACCCATATACAAATCTGACCATATATATATACAGTTTCTCTTGCAGAGCAAAAGTATGTTCCTATATATTAAAGGTCTGAAGATGAGTACTAAAAAACACACACCTTCATATATATTCACGGCAAGAGCTGCACATAACCAGTCAGGACTGCAATAGCTAAGATGGCCAATGGCGGCACTAGGACAAATGCGCCAACGGTGGCGAAGAACACTGAGTCATTCCGTCCACTGACCTTGGTGAGCAGGGCCTGCCTCTTGATGTTCCTCCTCTGGGAGACGGTCAGGGAGTTGAGTTTCTTCAGACCTTCCTTGAGCTTCTTGCCCAACGGGAGGGTGTACTCACCGTCCCTGTCACCGATAACCGCTGAAAGTTGCTCACGAATAGTAGTTTGCACACGGGGTTCTGTAGGAGCACCGTTCTCCACGCCTGATGAGCCATTGTGATTAGTTGCCACATATGCTAATTTTGGGACATGAATGAGAAAGAACAACGCAGAATTGCAGGTTTTGTGTGGCACATACCAATGCCATCAGATGTAGGGGTTGTCAGCTGCTCCAGGAGATCCAACTGGGTGCGCGCCGAAGAAACTTCAGAACAAAATGTGTCAATGTTAAGCCATTTGGCAACAAAAGTAGCTTCATGGGAACAAGTAGGCTATATGTTCAATACTTCAATGCAACAAAATGAACTAATAATATATTGTAGTACCCATACTTCAAATCCCTGGACTATGTAGCTACATTTATGCTAATAGAAATGGGGGGCCTGGGCATTGCTCTAAAAAAATTAAAGACAAAAAATACTTCAAATCCCTGACAGACTTTCTTCGAAAATAAAAACCTCTGACAGCTTAACACAACTCAATGATACTACAGTACTTCTGAAATTTATGGTCGAGAGATTAGAATCGTTTCGCAATTGAATTCACACCATGTCTGTCTATGTACCGAATTGCACAAGCTAGAGTGGTATGACTACACGAACACGACAAAATTTTCTTAATTCTAATTGTCCAGGTGTATTGTGACGATTCTTTTGAGTACTATATCTAGAAATCCCTGCCGACTCCTCATTGGCGTCTTTTCGAACACAATTTACACGTTGCAAAATAACTCTGATTGAGCATACAAGTGCAGACTGCAGAGACACTGAAGCAGTTCGTGGACTACTAATTATTAGTAGTTAGGCTAGCTTACATGCCAGATCTTCACATCTTCTCTGGACATTTTCCTAGAGGACATTTCAATCCTACACATATGAGAATCCAGAGGTAACTATCGAAGTCGAGGAGGTGTACGGTGTACCTGAGATGGCGGGGTCCTGCGTCGCGCCTTCCTGCCGGGCGGCAGCCGCGGCCTTGCAGCCGGCGCCCAGCGATCTCTGCACCGGGGATACGGTCGCCGCCCTAGGCGGCACCCTGCTGCTCCTCACGGCCGCCGCGTCCACGGCCTGGAGCCTCGTGGCGGACGAAGGCGGGAAGCTGCACGCCATGGCTCACCCTCTCCTCCTCCTCTTCCTCGACTTCGCTGGAAAGTCGGTCGTGGCAAAAACAAAAATTCGATTTCAATTCCCTTTTCCCGTTTTTTTCGTGGCGAGCGAGCTTGCGTCACCGGCCTTCACGGTTCCAACCACAAGAGGAGAGGAGAGGGAAGCCGCGCTGCGCGCACCACATGTTTGAGCTCCGTGCCACTGAGAGGCCGGGCCCACTGAGCCAGCGACTTGGGCCGCATCTCGTGGAAGAGGCCCATCAAAACGAGTACAAACTCCAGCCCAGCCCACTTCGCCGAGTCGCCGACCTCCCCTCTCCTTTCCTCTTCTTCCCCACCGGCGAGTCGGCGGCGACCGATCCCTCCCCGAGCCGCCGCCGCCGCCGCGATGTCGTCGCCGGGAGAGAGCGGGCCTTCGGCTTCGGCAAAGGACACGGATGCCGCGCAGAGGGCGCAGGAGCAGGAGCCCGGGAAGCAGGGGGGCGCGACGAGGGAGCGGCGGATGGAGTCGCTGGGGTGGCTGACGGAGTCGGCGGTGATGCCGAAGAAGCACAAGGCCATCGAGGGGGTCGGCGCCGCGTCCATCCTCGACCTCAAGGCGCAGCTCTACCGCACCCAGGAGGAGGCCCGCAAGCCCACCGCCCACGACGCCGCCGCGGCGGCTGCTGCCTCGGGCGAGTTCCGCCGGGCCAAGAAGCGCGCCGCTCCTGGTGACCCCCTCGGCGCGAAGAATTCCGGCGTCGATGCCCGCGCCCACAAGTACGTCTCCTTACTACTTCTCATCGACCTGATTATCCGGGGAATTGACGAATCAGTCCCAATTGCTGCCCTTTGCTAGGTATTAGATGCCTTGAAATGGTTATTGTTCATATGATCTAGTAGTAGGAGGATGAACGGAATACTTTAGTTGCAATCTGTAGTTAATCCTCATCGTTCTTTGCTGAACAAAATGAATAATCCCCTTTGCAACATGACTAGATTTGGTTTGGGCTTATAAATCTAGGTTATGTGACTTGCCTATCATACAAGGCAGCAAGCTGGAATTACTTCAGAACAATATCAGTAACTGGTTCATATTGGAGATCAATGTTTTTATGCTTCTTTGTATTGGATGTCATGGAATTTGATTAGGTAAAACAATTTTAGATAGTGTACCTTTTAGCAATTGTACAGCTGGTAACAAATGTAGGGCCCGTTGCCTGTACTTCTGCTACATTGGTCATTTCTCCATAAAGACACAGCTTTTGTTCACTAGTGGAAATTAACAATGGATATGATCAAAGAACAATTACGGCTAGATGTTACTATTTGATGTTCCTTCCATCTTGCTCAGACCAATCATCTGATATCCTGACCGCAATGGCTCTTAAGAAGAATTTCCTTTTCTCATTCAGCATTTCTACACATCGTCAGCTAACTCTCCCCTTTGCATTTGTCTAGTGTAGCATTTCTAAGAATGTTGATTACGTATTTTGCTTATTATGACGTCCATAATATGCTACCTGTGTTTTTTCCCCTCTTGCTCATGCTCTTGACCAGCACTAATGCCTAATTCCTACTTTGATATTTGCTTTTGCAACAGAGATAAGTTGGAGCTAAAAGCTGTGAAGGATGGTTCAGTAAGTTATGCTGCCTTAGAAAAGAAGGCAGAATTGTATGAAAAATTATCAAGAGGCGAGATACCTGATGAAGAAGACAAGGAAAAATATTGTGTTGACTTTTTCCAAAAGAGTTTCGATCATGTCTATGAGCCTCGGCAACCAGAGAGCCAGAGTGTTATTGACAGGGCAGAACCAGAAAATGACAATGATGATTCTATGTCAAGTGCCAAACCAGTAGGCCTTGGTCGAACTGGCACTACTATTGACAGAGATGAGCACAAGCGCTTTGTAAGGTACTGTTTTCTCTGGACTTGGCACAAGTGAATTTATTTGTGTTTTGAGTTGCTATTTATCGCCCGTTTATTTCCAAAGCATGCGTATAAGTGTATTGCTCTGATACTGAAGAAGAGCAAAAACATAATTGGTTGTCCTTGCATTTTAGTCATTTGATGCTTACATAGACCATTCAACATGAATTTACTTCCTAAAATGTTGGTATTTTGTGCATTTCTGTGTACCAACATTTCTTTTTAGCATGCCCATATAGCCATAATCAATTGTAGTAATCCTTAACAACAGTGTTGTGCCGCCAAACAGTTCACATACTTAAGTCCAGATCTCTTCATGTGATCAGGACCGTTTGTAAATCTTTACAAGCTGTGTTCATCGGCACGATGTAAGGCCTTCCAGTTTCAGTAAAAAGGAATAACATTTCATCAAGAGCTTAATGTGTAAAATACGAAGGCAAATAATTCTTTCCTGAACATTTAGATGTGCAACTATGTCATCAGCTACCAAGTGATACTATCATTTAACTTCCAACATTGACACTTATGTAGTTCTGTTAACATTACGACAATACTGTGTCTCAGGCCTTTTATTGACTTGTGCCATGATGTTCTGCAGGGAGGTTCATGAGGAAGTAAGTGAGGCAAGGCAGAAGGCTTCAACAATGAAATCCCGACGACAAGAGCAGGAGGCTGCTCGTAGAGAGAAACTCAAGCAGGCTTATTTGAAGAAACGCCTGGAGAAGTTACTTGCTGAGAAACGGGCCACTTCAGCAACCGACGACCAACCAGCTAGCTAGTCCAGGTTTTGTATGTCCTCACTTATGTCCTGTAGCAGCCTTAGTAGTTTCATGGCAATTCATCATGAGTTTTCCTTTGAAAGTGGTTCTTTGATTTAGCAGAACCAAATTCAGAAAACGTTGTCATGTAAAGTTGTTTCTACAGTTTGATTCAAACAATGTTGTTTCTACAGCATGTAATTGTACAAATCTACACAATTGAAAGGCATCTTCATCTTCATGTGATTTACCAGGTCTTACTGTGAGTCCCTGGGTGATTCCTCTCTTGTATGCAACCATAATCCCTTTAATTAGGGGGAAGCATGGTGGTATGGAGCCATGGTGGTGAAGTAGTGGGTGCATGACTTTACCCACCAGAGTTCAAATCCTAGAGCCCACGAATATTACAGGCCTGTTTGGCACAACTTCAGCTTCAGCTCTACCTCTCTTGGAGCTGGAGCTCAGCCTAATATTTTCAGCTTTATCTATAATGGGAGCGGAGCTAGGTGGAGCACTCTCACAAAATGAACTAGAGATGTGAAGCTGAGTTTAGACTGTTCCACAACTCTACTCTAGATGTAACTCGTAGAGCTAAATTTAGGAGTTAGAACTCTACCAAATAGACCTTACACATATGCAGGTTTGCTTTCAACAGAATTTTAGTGAGGTTAGGAATATGCCACTAGTTTGTTTATAGGCTAGTCATTTAAACTGACTCACAGACAAACTGTTTGTTTGTTTGGGCTTCGGTTTCTTAGTCAGGTGTAATTCTGCCATTGTAACCATTTGAGAAGCTTCTCGTGGGGCATATATCCCTTCTGCGCTGTACTGTAATTCGGTGCATGCATATGCATAGCTAACTCAAAAGCTGGCCAACGTCACGACCAAAATCTCGTTGGTTGTAGGTGCCAACTTTAAAATGGTACCAGTGCACAACCGAGAGGAGAAAGAAGCAGGTTCCATATTCTATATTCCTTTTGTTTGGATGAAAGAGAACCGCTGGTGTTAAAGAAAACCAAGGATAAAAAGTTCGCTGGCGCTTTCTGTGATTCTTTCCAAATCGGCACATAAATTTCTTGGGCCGAACTGCATTTCATCCCGCCTCCTCTCCTGCGAGTTGTGCGTATTGTTCCCTGCGTCACTGCGTGCTCTTGAGGCCGAAAGGAACGGGATGGCCAAGACGGCGCCGGAGCAGAAAGCAGTGACGCCGGCGACGCCGGCGGCGGCTGCGGCGAGCCCGTTCGAGTTCCATGTGTATGGGCCACGCAACCTGTCGTCGACGACATGGAGAGACCTCCTTCGATCGAGCTGGTAAGTTACTCTCGCGCAAAAGAAAGATACGATTTCAAGATCAAAGAAGGCTGCTTGGTTAAGTTCAACGATCTTTGTGTGTGTGTGTGTGTTGTGTGTGTGTTGTTGGGGGATCTTCTTTTCAATGAGTTTTTATAGGTTTAGATCATTTTGGTTGTGCTACGGTGCTTGCGGAGTTAGCATTGTTTGAGTTATTTGTTTGATCTTCTTCAATTCCTTTACTGGGATATAGTTCATGTCCTCAATGAAGAACTAGGATTATTTTTCAGGTTGTAAATAGTCCGATCAACAATTTTGGCTTTAGTCGGTTTATGTGCCTAATACAGGACTGGTGGTGAAAGTTTTAAAATCATGTTCTAAACAAGTTGAGAGTATATTTAAAAAACCACAACTCTCTTGTCAGAACTATAAGTTTGCTACAAACTTTAGATAGATATTTCACAAAACTACAATAACAATAAAATTGTTTTATTATCAAATAAACTACAAATTTAAGTATCACATGTGAGCCCAACTTGCAACAAAGCAGTAATATATTTGTGTCTGATGAGGGGGGCCTAATCGGTCAAACAAAAGTTTACAATTCTACGATAAAATCATTAACTATTATTGTAGTTCTATGAAATGGCGCAACTAATAAATCGATAATTTGATAGCACAATACTTGCAGTCTACTCCGTTTCAAATTATAAGTCGTTTTAACTTTAGTCAAAATTTAACTATTTTAAGTCTAACTAAGTTTATAGACAAATATAAAAATATTTATAGTATCAAATTAGTTTTATTAAACTAATAATTAAATATATTTTCATAACATATTTGTCTTGGGTTGAAAATGTTAATTTTTCTATAAACTTCATCAAATTTAAAGCAGTTTGAAGTAAAAACGACTTGCAATATAAAATAGAGGGAGCGGCGAAATTTACTTCGAAAAAAAAAAGGAGTCACACCTGCACAGTTGCGCAAAAGCATTCCCCTCTTGCAGCCAGCTACAGCCTACAGCGGCTTCTCACGTTGTTGGCGTTGCGCGGCGCATGCAGGAAGAACGCCAACTACCGGCGAATGGTGATCGCGTGCTTCATCCAGGGCGTCTACCTGCTGGAGCTCGACCGGCAGGAGAGGCGCGACGAGCGCACCGGCGCCCTGGCGCCGCAGTGGTGGCGCCCCTTCAAGTACAGGCTCGCCCAGGCGCTCGTCGACGAGCGCGACGGCTCCGTCTACGGCGCCGTGCTCGAGTGGGACCGCCAGGCCGCGCTCTGCGACTACATCCCCTTCCGCCCCGCCGGCGCGCCCGCCGCCGTCGTGGCGCTGCGGGGCACGCTCCTCAGGGCGCCCACGTTCCGCCGCGACGTCACCGACGACCTCCGGTTCCTCGCGTGGGACAGCCTCAAGGGCTCCGTCCGCTTCGCCGGCGCGCTCGCCGCGCTGCGCGCCGCCACGGGCAGGCTCGGCGCCGGGAGCGTGTGCGTCGGCGGCCACTCGCTGGGCGCCGGGTTCGCGCTGCAGGTGGGGAAGGCGCTCGCCAAGGAGGGCGTCTTCGTGGAGTGCCACGTCTTCAACCCGCCGTCCGTGTCGCTGGCCATGAGCCTCAGGGGTTTCGCCGAGACCGCCGGCGAGCTGTGGGGGCGCGTGCGGTCGTGGATCCCCTACTACGGTGGCTCCTCCTCCTCCTCCTCCCAGGCCGCGGACGCCGGCGGCGGCGGCGAGAGCGAGGAGGCGAAGGCGATGTGCAGGTGGCTGCCGCACCTGTACATCAACACCAACGACTACATCTGCTGCTACTACAACGACGCGGCGGCCGGGACGGCGACCGTGGCGGCCGGAGGAGGAGGAGGCGGGAGCGCGAGCGGCAAGGCGGTGGCGGCGGCTGCGGCGGTGCGAGGGACCGGCGGCGGCGGCGCGCGCGTGGCGAGGATGCTGGTGGCGTCCAAGGGCCCGACCAAGTTCTTGGAGGCGCATGGGCTGGAGCAGTGGTGGGCCGACGACGTCGAGCTGCAGGTGGCGCTCAACCACAGCAAGCTCATCGACCGGCAGCTCAGGTCGCTCTACGCCGCCCCGCCGGCCGCCGCAAGCTAGGCCGACGAAATTGCTCTCAACCAATGACGTTGATTGTACTGCTTTAGTACCCAGATTACATTCTACCTGGAGGATTTACTTACGAGTATCTCAAAGGTTTATAGAAGAGTGGTTAAAAAAATTGCGTAAAAAAAATTAAGATTAGGATATCTCAAAAACAAATAAAGCGAGTTTGATTATTCACATTTCGAGCAAACAAAAGAACCATTATAACTGAACTGGAAAAACTTAAAATGAGAGAGTGAAAAAAAGAGAGACAAAAGAACGACTCCGCTGGGGATCGAACCCAGAATCTCTGGTTCCGTAGACCAGCGCCTTATCCATTGGGCCACGGAGTCCTGGATGCTTAATGTGACATACTATTTTTCTTTAGTTAAAATGAATGACCAAGAGAATTGTAATTTCGGTGCCCAAAGATTTAGTTATTTCAAGCACTGGTGGTGTACCAGCGAATACTCGATCCAAAGCTATCACTTTATCACAAGACGATAGTTCACTCTAGAATGAGCAGGAAACTGACTATATATAGATTCCATTACAAAGCTCAGTGCCTCAGTTCTGTAATATACAATTGATTCGTCCATCCAATTACTTGGGTGAACCATCGGAACAACTACCCGACGTTCACCTCTAGTCGTAATCTGATTCCTCGGACAATTCACCGCTTTCCTGCATTGAAAATAAGGTAAGTATGATTTTTTGCATGGAAAAATTGAATAGACACGAAAAAAACACGTGCAATATATATGCAGAAAATACACCTTTTTCTTGTCAAATTCAGCCACCGCCTTCTCATACTCTGCACGCTTCTCGGTTGCTATATCATAATACTTCACTCTTTCCTGGTGTAATGAACAAAAGTGAAATTGTTGACATAAGTATGATATGAGTTTATGTCTAAAATGCAATGCGCAAAAATGTGAAATGAAGCTGTACATATCTGATATGAGATATTGTATTGCCTAGACCATTTATTTTGACAATGAGTCAGAATTCCTACATAGTCCACTGTGTACTAAACTGATAATTTGAAAGCATAGTATTATTTAAGAACCCAAAAGAAGAGCCTGAAAAAACAAAGGAAATATATATTTACCAATCAAAAGTTCAAAACAACACAAATAGTTCACCCGGCCTTTTCTGGCTTTGATTGCATGAATGGTCTTTGAGTGAACCCAAACTGCTGGAGCCAACAATTTCTATCTTTTCCTGGTTCAACTGGCAGTTTGGTCCAAACTATGATTTCTAAAAAGGAAAATTCCAAACTACATATCTGGTATTTAAAGCTCTAAGGAATCCACAGGTGATCTTGATATGCTTCACAGCAGTAGCACCTTCTTTTGTTTTCCCTATGGGTTGGTAGCATGAAAAAAATAGGAAACATGGGTATTTGGCAGTTGGCACCAAATCCTTTGAAATGCGACTATACTAAACATACATGGAATGAACCTACTGAACAAAAGGGGGAAAAAGTAAATATGCAATCATGTACCATTATCCAACTGAACAGTAGATGTAACACCTACAAAGTACATTCTTGGGCTTCTACAGTTACAGTCCATGTCAATGTATTACTTTAGCTGTTTGAGCGTATCGGCTACAAAGCTTCTACAGTTGCAATATATGTCAATCCGATCCTTCAGCTATTTCGTTAGAATTACTCCCTAGAGGCCTAGACTCAATGATCACTTTTTTTGTAGGCTGTACCAGTTAATTCAAGGAAGTTTAGAATAAATAGATTAGTTATCTAGTTTTAACACTAGGCACATAAACAGTAGACAAAAAAGAGCAGATATGGCTCAAATATCCCTTTTTAAACTTTGAAATTAAACCTTACTAATACAATACACTGAAGCAGGAACTTCTGCTTGATGGTTTAAAAAAAAAGTGATTTTGAAACAAAAGAATAAGTCAATATACATCTCAACTCCGCATGTACAGATTTGTGGTGCCATCATGTTTCTATCAATCATTTTATGTGTTTGTTGGGTTTGCTACCATGCCAAAATGTTGGCAATGCCAAAACATAGGCAAGTTTTGGCACTTCCAGATTTTTGGCAACTTTTGTGTGGTGTAGGTAAATTTTGGTAGCAAACCAAATGGTGCCAAATTACTATACAAGAAGCCAACATTTTGGTAGGGCAAGTTTTGGCTTCAAACCAAAACAGCCATGCGTTACAACTTACAGAGAAGCATGGTTTGGTACTTGAGTGATAGAAAATTTACAGCAACTAGAGACCTAATTGACCACAAACATCACTAAGGTGAAATCACAAACCTCAAATGTCATTGTATTCCATTTCTCGCCACATGCCTTCCCTACCTGCAGGGTAAGATATATTACTAGATGACTAAGTAGCTTAAAGCTTCAACGTTAACTGATGGAAACTTACTTCTTGCATTGATTTTACACTTGGATTTTCTTCCTTGTAAGTTTTCCGAAAATCCTCCCTTCAGCAGACCATAACAGTTTTTCAGTAAAACTTGACTGAGTTGATTCAGTACAAGATATGAAAATAAGAGGCAAAAACAACAGAGTAACTTTTGTGTTTTGGTTACACCTAAATGGCTAAATTTATGTGAAACACCTCAAGGAAGTAAGCACTATGTTTAATGTTGATGACTGGATGCGGTATAAAGCATCTAGACAATTATGGTAGCATGTAAATGTTGCCATTACTCTCTATCAGTAGCTAAAACACTTCGTAACCATCAAAAGCATGACCAAGTCAAAAACATATGCATTCATTTTATATCAGTAACCACACATCTTTCGATGCAATTGTGGACAAGGAGCATCAGATATGCCTGTTCAATTAGGTAAAGGCTGTGCCCTTCGCATATGTTGCAGGGGAAGCACACACTTTGGTACTCAAAAAAAAAGTGGTGCATAGTTTCAGTTGCCAACTCCCAAGATAGGACCACAAAATAACCTGCCTCACTCCGTCTTTAGGAAAAACAATCAAATTCTAATAAAGAACAGGGCAATCCTATATAATATCGCAGGATAACTCAAATAGGAATCTAGGATCCCAGCCTTCCAAAATGAGATGTAAACAATGCCAATCTACATAAACTTGGGGTGAAACCTGATTGCACAAGCTACAACAATGAGTCCATCCATGACTAGGGAACAGATCGAAAAATGCACCTCAGATTGAGATGCCCTGTAAAACCTAGTAAATTCAGTCCCTAACATACCCAACCATTTTCCTAATTGCCACGGACCGGAGGCAGTATCGTAAATATTTCGCATGCGAACTTGCTGCACCGTATTACCACCAAGGCACCACTCAATTCGAAGTTGGTGAGTAAAAAAGCTCCTAAAACAAAGTTCTAATCTATGCAAGGAAACAATTCGATTAATAAAAAGAAAAAGAAATAAGCCCCCGGTAACAGCAGCACCAATCACCTCGTGGCAAGAGCCAGCCACGGCACGCACTGACAGACCAGGCAAATCCACACAAAGAGAAAGGGAACCAGATAATACACGCACATGAAGTAGAAGAAGGCGGTGGGCGGCTTCTTGGGGCGGCGCCGGTCGACGAGGGGCTGCCCCTTCTTCCGGGACGGCGGCGGCTGCGGCTGCGGCGGCGGCGGCTTGGGCCGCGGCTTGACAGGAGGCAGCCGCACCGTTTTCAGCGGCTTCGGCGCCGTCTGCGACCTCGTCTTCATCCCTCCGCCGCCTGGGCCGCCGGGGTTTTTAGTACACGCGGCGAGGGTTTAGGCCCCGAGCAGCCGGAGCCGGAGGAGACGGAGGTTTGCAGCGGCGAAAGGAAAAGAGACGGCGAAGCGAGGCGGAGAGGAGAGAGTAGACTAGATCTCTCGTTGGGCCGGCCGTGCGGCCCAGTGGAGCTGGGCTTTCGGCCCATGCAGCCTCGGCCGCTGCTGGTACAAGTGGCGCGGGGCGTTGTGCGTGCTGGTTTTGCGATGGATTAGTACCACCTCGGTAGATGGAGGAGAGGGAGGAGGACGTGATGGGTATAAGACGGGGGTGGGGGGCTAGCTAGAGAGGCATCTTTGCGCTTGGGGCAATGACGCAGCTAGTGAGGTAATACCGAGGCGCGTCAATTGCTGGTTGAAAACTATTTCCAAACCCCCTCTTTGGCCCGTCAGGGCCACTGAGAATTTCTGGAAGGGCTCCTTCTCTTCGGGGAGGGTAAAGCCCAACAAATCTTGAATCCCAAAATTTTTATACCTCAAAACAATTTTACGTATTTTGCTCGGTAGAAGCTGCAATTCGGAGTCTATAACCACACTACCAGAGTTAAGTTATTAATAAGTTGTTTATTTTTTAATTAAAGTTTTTTTAATCCAATTTATATAAAAAAAATAATAAGATTTATGATACTTTTTTCTTTTGATTTTATAGTATTATCCACATTAATATAGATGACTTTATCCAATTAATATAGATGACTTTATAGCATTGTTGAAAATATAGATGACTTTATAGCATTGTCGAAAGTGTTACATTATGAAACAGAGGGAGTATTAAATTAGTTCCATTAAATTATAATAAATATATTTTAATAAAATTTTGTTTTTATTGAAAATGCTACTATGTTTCGCTATAATTTTAGAAAAAAAAATCAAACAACTTATAATATAAAATGGAAGGAGAACAAATTTAAAACTTCCGTTTTGAAAAACACACCCTTAAACCAGTTTAGAAAATGTTCTTACGAAGAAAAACGAGAAAGTAGAATAATTTCTTATTATTAATTAACTGGAACTTTTATATTTTATATTTAGATCTTAAACCTAAAATAACAATGTATCCACTGAAACTTTTATATTTTAGACCCTAAACCTTACAATAACCATGTATCTATTTTAGATCTTACGTGCAATTAGTCTTTTATGTGACCTTATCTTTACATGACCCATCCGAGCCTCTCCTACTTTATCTATTTCCTCTCCCTCCCCCAATGTCTTCCCACCATGGCCATTTTTCTTCAAAGACACCGACGACTCCACCACCTTAATTTTTTTCCTCTCCCTCACTCCTCTCTCTCTATATTTTCGTATAGATTCTATTTTCTTCGAAGAGGCTGACGACTTCGCCACTACAACGCTACTTCATTGCCCATCTCTGCCTCTCTCCCTCTCCCCATCCACCATCATGCAACCCTCCCTTCTTCGTTGACGTCAGTGCCGTCTCTTCTCCCTTCTCCTCCGTTGAATCAAATAGCTCACTGGATCCGAATGTGAGCTTATCAGATCTCGCCGCGAGCTCGCTGGATTTGCTGTGGAGAGTGGTGATGACCATGGTGGCGAGCGGCGATGACTTGCATGACAGTCCTTGGTGGCGGTGAGCGGCGATGACCATGGCAAATCCTCCTCGCCCGAAATCTCTTTTTCACCAAGCATATCACAGGGCTTCAAACTTGCCCAACACGTGGCCCCGAGCTATGGGTTCCTAGCTCCTGAGCTGAGGCATGGTCGAGGTAACCATGACCTTTGCAGGTTGTGCGTGACATCGTGAGACCATGATCCCCAATGAACTTGTTTTAGATAAATGATTGCTGATAGAAGTTATTTTAAGATGATGGGAGTATATTTTGTTTAATATCCCTTCCTTATATATATATATATATATATATATATAGAGAGAGAGAGAGAGAGAGTTACTTTGACCAATAATTAGTCTGTTAGATATAATTTTAAGTCAAAAAAATAATGTATTAGATTAATATTTAAAAGTACTTGCTTACAATATGATTGTATTTTTCTATCACATAAATAATATTTTAATAGAAATGATTATTGATCAAAATATTTTTTATGAAACAAAATACACCTTATATTTTAAAATAGAGAGTACTACTTTTCCAATCTATGCAACCATATTGCTTAATACTGCCTTCATCCAAAAGTCTAAGACCTACTCCCTCCGTTCCAAAAAAAACTCAACTCCCTTATAGGACAACGAATTTGGATAGATTCTAGTCACATCCAGATTCGTTGTCCTAGAAGGGGTCACATCCCTTACTAGGTTGAGTTTTTTTTGGATGGAGGGAGTATTTCTTTGTCACCAAACTTAAGAAAAAATTAACTCATTCACTATGTGATAAAAGCAACAAACTATACATATGCATTTAACCAGTAAGTAATAAGATGGTTTATTAGATTCTGGTCAACAATTTAATTTCACATATAGAGATTATAAATAGATCTTAGACTTACAAAAGTTTTAAAAATATAAAATAGATCTTAGATTTTTTATAGGGCGATAGTAGTTATACTGATAGTGCTTTTATTTCTCATCGTACTTTCCCCATGCATCTAACCACTGCTCTTAGAACCATCAAAATAATTTCAGCTTAATCTTATTTTATTTTGTTAAACCCCTTAAAAATGCTTATTCTTGTGAAGGAGAGAGTATTTAACCCTCTACTTGGTTATTATGCCGTTATTAAAGGTCAACTATCTTAGGGTAAAGGTTTACTTTAGAAAAACGGATCTAGCGTGGGTGTTGGGGGAAGTTGGGGGGACTCGAGTCTCCTCTACCACGCTGGATCACCATTGAGAGAAGGCGAGAGAGGAGAAGGGAAAGGGAAGAAGAGGGTGAGAAAGAAGAGTAGGAGCTGGAAGAGACAGGACACATCTCTATTAAAATTCCAGATCCGTTCCTGCACTTGCACCACTTGATGATTGACTTACCAATCGAGAGTCGTTGTTATATACTATGTTCCATGATGAGTGGTACTATATATGTCATTGTCAGCAATTTATTCCACTGAATGATCTGATCCCTGTCCCGCGTAGGCGCGTGGGGTGTCACTTACGCGGTGCATCCAGACGCGCGCGGTACGCGCCCCAGACGCGGCCCGGCGAGTCAACCAACCGGTGAGCAACTGCTCTTTTCTCAATTGACACAGATCTGCACACTCCATTCCAAAATGATTTTATTTTTTATTATCTTATTTATTCTAAAATAATTTTATTTTTATTTATTATTATATTAGAGTTTATAAAAAATGCATTTAACTAGAGTGGAAGAAAGTTACATTATGATTTGATAGAATGGAGAGTATTTTATTTCTTTATGTTGGTCTAGGTTGGCATGTACTCCTTCTCTAATTTATTTTTTACCCATCCCACACATACCAATATAAAACAAAAAAAATACAATACAAATATACTTTATTAGATTCCAATATAATTATTTCTCACTCTAACTACTTTTAATATAATTATTTTCCACTTTCACAAACTCCGATACAATAATTATATGAAAATAAATTTATTTTAGGATAAACGAGAGGAGCCAGAAATAAGCTTACTATAGAACAGAGAGAGTATAGAATAGCTATAAAATAAAGTTATTTTAAGTCGGAGGTATCACTAATTCGATGCGATATCTACCGATCTTTATACTCCAGTTACAGATTCTGAGATTCCATAACTGCGGGCGATCAGCGCAAAATCTAAAAAAAGAACAACACTAATGGTAAAGGTCTAATTTACCTAAATAATAAGGATTGGATAACGCGTGGTGATGTGGTGATGCGGTCCGTACCCCGTGGTCGAGCCTTATTTTACTTCTATAAAATCAAACGACTTTAAAAAAAATGTGGAATAATTTATGCAGTGCAAGCAACACCTTTCCAGGACTGCTAAAGTTATTATTTATAAATTTCTACTTTTTTCTATAAAAACAAATCTATTACATAACTGTTCATATTTGTAATAATAGCAATATCATATTCCATTATATTTATTGTTTATATGATGGAGGGAATAACTAAAAAAATAGTTTCAGGCTTAGAAAAGTTGCGACGGCAGTGAATGGTGCCTAAAGCCATCCCAACCCAAAAATTATCAACTACTTTCCATACTTGCCATGTCATATAGACACTATGTATAGAAATTACTCCTTCCGTTTCAAGTTATAAGACGTTTTGAACTGCTTTAAGCTTGACCAAGATTATAGAAAAAAGTAGTAACATTTTCAACTCAAGACAAATTTATTATGAAAATATATTCAATTATTAATTTGATGAAACTAATTTAGTATTATAAATATTGTTATATTTGTCAATAACTTAGTCAAACTTGAAACAGTTTGACTTTGACCACGGTTAAAACGTCTTGTAACCTGAAACGGAGGGAGTATATATCCAATGGATGGTGTTTTCACATTAAATTCTTATCCAATCACCTCTCTTTTCTCTCCTTTCATGCATCTATCCCCTTGTTTTTATTTTTGGTTTTTGTGTAGAGATGGTTTCTTACATGAGAAATGGTGTTTTATCTTTTTACCTCTCTACTCATTAACTCTCTTGCATATTAGATTTTTGCTTCTGTGACAATATAATTAATGATATGGACACTATACGACATGTAGGGCTGGGGATGGCCTAAGATTAGTCTGTATTGAGTGGATATCTTAAAGTTTTAAAAGTTCCTCTTTAAAGTTTAGTGCGTGCGCGCCTATCTGTTTCGTCTAATCGGGAAAAAGTTACTACCTCCGTCCCAAAATATAAGCATTTTTAACTATGAATCTGGACAATATTTAACTATGAATCTGGACATTGTCCAGATTCATAGTTAAAAATGCTTATATTTTGGGACGGAGGGAGTATATGGTTTTGGCCTTTTTACAGTTCCGTCAGTAAATGAATCTTTTTGTCCCTTTCAAATAAATGATAAATCGGGATTATTAAAGGATTTGAGTCCTATAGTTTTTCTTTCCCTAAATGAGCCTTTAGAAGAAAGGGATTGGGAACTATTAAATCCCATAAAACTCTAATTGAATACCTAAATCCATAGAGTTCTCTATAAGTTTTTATCTTCCCGTAAATTCCTGAATATTAATTTTGTGCTCTATCCAAAGTTTTAAACAATCATTATTGTACTTTCTTCCTGTGTATTATAATCCCACGTTTATACTTTTGTTCTTTCTACTCCTGCATTTTCTTGAGCATGCGTTTAAAATGGGGTTACGGATTTTGGATTATAGATTGTTGGCTTCCTAAGCGACTAAACGGTATTTAAGAAACATTTTTTCGGTATTTCTTAGAAACTTTTTCCATTAACCTTTACCAGTACATTTTTTCCTTTATTCAAACAATCATTATCATATTTTTCAAGTGTTTTGTAATCTTTTTGTCTATACTCGTGTTTCTAACTTGATGAAACTCCACGCGTTGCTTTAAAAGTTTAGTATGATAATAGTAGAAACATGTAATATAGCTAGACGTCTTAAGCTTATAGAATTTGTATATTTGATCGATCCTTGCAAAGGCCATAACAATTAAGTTGATGTGGTTTATGATAATTTAAATGGTATATAGATTGATAATTTAAAAGTAAAAGTAAGGTGATGTAACTTTATAAGAGAAGAAAATGAGGAAAATAATTTGCACTATAGATTAATAATCAAAAGGCTAAAAGCAATTGAGATGATATGGTTTAATGAGAGAATATAGAAACATTAACTAAATAAGAATGAACTATATATGGGATATTGTAGAAAATGATAAAGAGATATATGTTGAAATATTATGTAAATTATGTGGGATGATGATTTAACATACTTATATTTTTAAAGTTTTAACGTATAATAAAGTATAGATGATATAGTATGCTTGTATAATGTTTAAGATGTAACAATTTCTAATGGATGATTATATGGTATTTTTGCATGTTGAGATTTAAGATGTAGTGGGTTGTAACTTTATAGATAGTATAGATAAAATCTTGTGTTTTTCCTACTTCAACGTTTTCTTCAGCATGCAGTTTAAAGGCGGTTCTGGGTTAAGTATTATAAACTATCACGTGCATGTTTCACAAGATACTAAACGGCGTAGTTTTTATTTAAAGAAATCGTTGTCAATATTTCTTAGAAAGCTTTAATTCAACGTCCTAATATTTAATCCGTTTGTTTAATATACCCTTAAATAATTATCATAAACTCATTTTCATCCATCACCCGTCATCCCACAGCTAAAAAACCATGCCTTAAGTTTGCTGGAAGTCCCCCAAACAAATGCCATGAATAGAGAGGTGAAAACTGGAGAGAAACTCCCAAGCAACTCCCAAAGTCTCAATCTGCTCAACGGACATGTTCCAATGATTCACTTGTTCGTTATTAATTGTTACATTTTCTTTGTTTATATATACGCACATGTAAGGATGCAGGAAGACGATCGATCAAGGTTCACCTCGGAAAAGAAAAAAGAACAGAAAGAAAGACGATCTAGAGGGAGCCAAAGATTGCAAGATCGATCGCAAGGTAACGTACACGTACAGGTGAGAGGAATCGATGCCGGCCGACGCGCGAGCTGCTCCGCCGTCGTGCCCGTTCCCGACGATACGGTCGCATGGCGCCGCCGTGGCGAGGTCGCACGCCTACGACTGGCTCGCGCTGCTCCTCCTCGTCGCCGTCGACGGCCTCCTCAACGCCATCGAGCCGTTCCACCGGTTCGTCGGCGCCGGCATGATGACCGATCTCAGATACCCCATGAAGCGCAACACCGTCCCCATCTGGGCCGTCCCGGTGCGGCGCAATTATAATTATCTGCGATTTTTATGATCCGTCCCTCGATTAAGTTTCCTCTTTAATTACGTGATCTAATCAGGATTATCTCTCGTCCTAAATGGCGCAGATCGTCGCTGTCATTGGGCCCATGATTGTCTTCACCGTCGTCTACTTCAGGAGGAGGAACGTGTACGATCTTCACCATGCTGTGCTAGGTACTTAAATCTTCCAACGTTGCCCTCCATTCCATTGCAACATCTCCTTAATTTCTTTGTTGTGACGAACATTTTGATCCATCGACGAGCAGGCATTCTGTTTTCGGTGCTGATTACCGGCGTGCTCACCGACGCGATCAAGGATGCCGTCGGCCGCCCGAGGCCGAACTTCTTCTGGCGCTGCTTCCCCGACGGAATCGCGGTATAACAGCAAATCTCAACTTAATTAGCCCCTCAAAACAGTCAAACCTCTCTGGAATTTACGCCCCAAGAACGCCTCGCTTATCGAGCGATACACACATGTGCTGTGCTGTGCTGTGCCTGTGCCCAGGTGTTCGATAACGTCACCACGGGAGTCATCTGCCACGGCGACGCGAGCGTGATCAAGGAGGGACACAAGAGCTTCCCGAGCGGCCACACTTCATGTGAGTCAAGTCTATATATCTCACTCCCCTCATCACATAACAATAGATCAAGATCAGCCAACTGAATGTCTGATCATTCTTCTATCTAGATTGATTGAGTGAATGATATAAACAAGAACTTACTACAGTGAAATTCCAATCACTGAATTCACGGTATATATAGTGAGTTTGTGACACTGACAGCAGAAAGCCAGAAATGATATGTTCTCGTGCTCTGTGGCTGCAGGGTCTTTCGCCGGTCTGGGGTTCCTGTCGTGGTACCTTGCCGGGAAGATCACGGTGTTCGACCGGCGCGGGCACGTCGCCAAGCTGTGCGTCGTCCTCGCGCCTCTGCTCGTTGCGGCGATGGTCGCCATCTCGAGGGTGGACGACTACTGGCACCATTGGCAAGACGTCTGCACGGGAGGCGTCCTTGGTACGTACTCCACTATATACCACTGACACTGTACATGCTTGATGAAGTTGCGGTTTTATCAGAATCGATATTGTGAGCTATATATCTCGTTCTCTCTGCTGCTAATGGTCAGTGCTCGTCTATAGGATTGGTGGTTGCCTCTGTCTGCTATCTTCAGTTCTTCCCGGCTCCTTCAGATGAGAAAGGTGTGTTCTGCTTTCTCCCTTCGTTTCTCTACTTTCTTGAGATGGATTACACAGCATACCGACCACGGCGTCCAACAAAGGATTAAAATCACGGTGGTGTAATCGGATTGGTTACCAGTTACCACTCTTGAACCACCAACGGTATACGGGGGAGCCGTCAAAGAAGTTTAAATTTGAAATTGAAATCATATTAATGGTATATCCTTAGCCACAATTATAATAAAGAAAAAAAGTGCAAATTGAGAAGTAGGCACCTTCAATAGAAAAACCGAAAAGGACAGTCCGCTCGTCACCGTAATTCAACACAAGTCGAGTTATCGTGACTAGCTGCCACATGTGGCCGTCCGCACCATAGTTCGAGAGAACATCAAGGCCAAATCTGACTTCTCAAGGCAACCGGATCTACATGAGTCTAAGTTGTTAGCCTGCTAGATCTGTCTCAGCCCAAAGGGCCACAATATTTGAGCTAATTCTAAATATTAAAAAAAAACTTCAAAGCTAGTAACTTCTTAAAGGATCAAAAACAGCTAGGTCCAAACGGGCCAAAGGTCACCAGATCCAACAGCATCGAGCTTGAGAGCTGTTGCATCCGAGTTCATTAGATGAGAAGTGGAGGAAAGTAATGGCAGATGATATATGCTAGGAACGACATAGTCATCCTAAATCTGGTGACATTTAGTTCCGCCTAGCATGAGAGGAAGGGGAGAATGTGCCGCTTAGGAAAAGTGTCACAAGGAGGTGTCAGGGAGAGGATGGGGCAAGGAATAGGGGCTAGCAGCATTGGGGAAGCGAAGGTAGCATCGATGACAGAAATAGAAAGGGGAGCATCACCCAGGAGAGGGGTGGAGAAGAAGTGTGACAAGTAAGGAGGATCAGGAATCTGGCAACGGCCCGAATCAATTGGAAAAGGGATTAAGGACAATTCACTCATCGCCACAATTCAACTCAAGCCAAGTTATAGTGACCAGTTGCCCGCACTATAGTTCGAGGGAGCACCAAGGCTAGATCTGATTTCTCAAGGCAACCGGATCCACACAAGCCTAGACCGCTAGATTCGACCATCTCAAACCGGAGGTCTGCTACATTTGAGCACATTTTAAGCATAAAAAATCAATTCCAAAGCTAGTAACTTCTTGAAAGACCAAAGCAGCCAGATCCAAACATGCCTGAAGTCACTAGATCTAGCTGCATTGAGCTCGAGAGCCATTGCAGAAGAGTTCATTGGATGAGAAAAGGAGTGGAGGCCTAAACTGGCAGGTGATGCTAGGAGCATGGTCCTAAATTTGGTGGCGTTTAGTTCAGCCTGAGTGGAAGGGGAGGGGGTGCTACTTAGGAAAGGTGGCACATGAAGGTACCAGGGAGAGGCCTGGGCAAGGAAGAAGAGCAATAGTATTGGGGGAGTGAAGGCACCGGAAATAGACAGAGAAAAAGGAGCATCACCAGGAGAGAGGTGGAGAGAGAGTGTAACTCGGGGGATCAGAAAGCAGGTAACGGCCTTAATCAAGTGAAAAAGGGGATTAAGGTTTCTTGGTTATATAGATTTTCGTAAAAATGAGTAGTCTGTTGACTTAGATACGACGTATGTCTCGTGGATAATTGTATTTTGATCTACTTATGAGGTGGTAATACTTTTCATATGCTTAGGCATATGAAAATGTATGCATTAGCCATGGAAAAATGTTTGAAGATTTTTAATTAAAAACCGACTACTATTGGAAAATAAACAACAAGTTACCACTGATAACCGGTTTTTAAATTAAAATGTTGGATTCAAGCTTTTATATGGCAACCAAATTGTTATTCGCTACGTGAGAGAACGATATTATTTTCTTTTCTAGGAATAATATATTCAAAACCTTGCATTAACTAGTGGTTGCACCACGCCAATGGCAGGGTTCTGGCCTCACGCGCACTTTAGGTACATCACCGAGAGGGGAAGCGAGAACCCAACGCAGCAAGCCACCGAACCACTGGACGCCATGGAAACCGGTAGGGGAGGCCAATGAACAAGGTGCAAGCAAGACCAATCTTGTGTATATAAGGCCATAATGTACAGCTCCTCCTCAAGGCACGGGAGGTAATCGTCGTTAGTTTGTAAATACTTTGGCGTGGGCCAATGGTACCGACTAACTTGACTACTGACCTGACGCAAATAGGTGTTGTTTGTACATACTGTATGTATTTTCAACGAAGTTTGTACATATGTATTGGTTTTGCTTACTTATGTACTCCTATGTATTTTAAATAATTTTAGTGTCTAAAATTCCGTTCTTCTCCCAAGAATGGCACGGGGTCAGATCAAGCTCTGTGTTAAGGCCTGAACTGGCCCATCCTATTTGGGCTTGAATTCAAGAAATCATTGTGAAAAGAAATAAGTCTATTTTGTGTCCCACATCTTTTGCTTCTAAATTCTGGTTGAATCACCTCTGCCATCTTCTAAAACTGTTACAAATAGACTTCTTCTATGCTTCGGAAAGTGGTTTTTTTAACGTGGTTGAGTCGATCAGAAACGGACGGAAATTAGCTTTAGCATATTCGTTTTCATATTATCTTTTTTGGAATCGAAAACCTGGATACAGAAATAAAATCAAATATTATCGAATACAGATAAGGAGCGAAAACGAAACGGAAAGAATATGGCAACGAATATTTGCCGGTATATAAATATCCCCTCAAATTGAGTTTCCTTAATCAAGGAAGAGATATCGCTTGTTTTTTATCAACGCCTCCAACATTTATATTGTCAATTTTATAGGTGGTCCCACAACCGTATGTGAAAATCGATTTTCATGGCTATTCTCTTAAGAGACCCACATGTAAATATGATTATTCATTTTTTAATCCCAAGATATTTTACAATATTTATAGCTTACTTACCATATCACTAATCAAGTTCTTGTTGTATAAATTGGAGGTGTTATTTATTTTATTTCGCATCTTCAAAACTTATAGTGTTTGTTTTATAGTTTAAAAAGTTTCAAATATAAATTTTATAAACTATAAAGTGGTAGATCCCATTAAGCTCTACAACTTTGATATGGAACACATCTCCATCAAATGTCGTTTGAATTGCATATCTGAGATTTTGTAAAAAAACATATATGGTATTTTATAATAAATATTTAGACCCTTAAATAATCTCAAATAATAACATTATCAACAAGAAAGTTGTAGATCTCATCGAGCTCTACAATTTTGATATAAAGTTTAGGGATAAGCCCATCTTACACCCTTTAACTCTTTACTTCGTCTAAAATACACCCTCGAACTTTAAAACCAAGCATTTAACACCCCCCAACTATTAATATCAGACAAGTTACACCCCTGAACGGTTTGTAGGCTGGTTTTGGTACGGTAGGACGTCACCATAGGATGCCATGTGTAAAAAAAGCAGTGGGTCTCACATGTCAGGGTTAGCTTTCTTTTCTTCTCTTCTCTCTCCCTCTCACGGGCATAGCCTCACAGACCGGTGTTAAGGAGTAGAGAATCGAAGCTGCTGCCATGCGCCCCGTCTTCTTCAACCTTGGGCAAGCGGCGGGCTCATCATCGAGCTCGCCATCGGCCCCTTCTTCTATTGAGCTCACCCAAGGGGACATCACCAGCGCCGCTTCATCCCCTTGTAGCCGTCATCATAGGCACACGCCATAGCTGCACGTAGCTCCTCCGCCTTCCCTGTCTCACACTAGCATGCCCCTTCGCGGCTCCGCCGCCTGTGCCGATTGCAGCTCCACTATCATGCTTCGTCTCCCTTAGAGCACCGCATCCGCTCCCTCCACCACCAAAATCGAGCTAGAGCACTGCATCCGTCCCCTCAGCTGAGCTTCACGTGCCCTACAGCCACCGCTCCAGCGAGCTGCTGGCGGCGATAGATGCAGCTAGCTTGGGCTGCTCCATCATCGATGGAGGGAAGGAGGAGAGGTGGCGTGACATGTGGGACCCTTTTTTTTTACACGTGGCATATTATTTACCAAAACCACCCTACAAACTGCCGGGGGTGTAATGTGTCTAGTATTGGTAGTTTGAGGATATGGAATACCCGGTTTTAAAGTTCAAGGGTGTACTTTAGACAAAGCATAGAGTTAGGGGGTGTAAAATGGACTTTTCCCTAAAGTTTATCTTCATCTAACTCTGTATGAAAAAAGTTATGTATATATACGTGTTTTTTCTAAAATTTGATCCATGTCTGCGGATATCCAAACAAAATTTCTGGATAGTTTCCAATCATTTCCCTTATTGTATTTGTTTTTGTTTCCGACTAAAAAAATCCGAATTCATTTCCGAATCCGAGAATTTCCAGATAATTCCGACCTATCTGAATTTGAAAAATGGTCCGGACGGACAAAAACTATCCAGTTTCAACCCTACAAGTAGATGGGACTTGCAGTTGACTCGCTGAGAACATGTCCACGCTTGAGGCAAATGCCTATAAACTACCGGCAAATTGGGAAAAAAAAAGAAGAAAAGAAGAAAAATTGAACTTGCACACTCACTTGATGAAGATACACGAGTTGTTTTCTGAGGCACTGCATATCTTTTGACTTAGGAGTAGTAATTAATTATACTTCACCAAATATGCATACTGAAATCAATTGGGCCATCCACCATCAAGGCATCAACATTATCTCTGCAGATGCATCAGACGGCAATAAGGCATACTCCTATGTACTGCTACGTGCGTCCCCCAATGTCCCTAGTAGCGGTTTTCAGTCAGAGCGCTCTTTTCCCGGCATGTCGCACGCTTTGCTGCTCTCTCATTCTCCTCCCCACAGCCACTGCAGATAAGGTGGTATGTTCTGCTACAAACAGGCCTTGTATGGTCGAGCTAGCAGCAGATTAAATTCTCTCTCTTCTTGCAAGTTCGACTAGATTTTCAGGTGGTTTGATGTGGACTGTAGAATGGATAGAATCTTAAAACGTGCTTGCTTTGGAGGATATTTCGTGATGTCGTCACCACACGTCGCAAAGAAAGGGACGTCGCTTGCAGAGACCATAGTAAAACACATCACCTCTACAGTGATCTTATTTGTCGATAATATTTTACTATCAGTATTCTCTTCGGTGAAAACTATATCAACCATTGTTTTTATTATAAATATGTTACTAATAATTAATGTGGTAGTATAAATAGATACGATTCATTAAATTAAAAATACAATCAACCTAGATTAATTCTTTTATAAGTAAAGATCATCATAAAGCACCACCTTTCGCATCGATTTTTAACCTTAAGCATTGTAAAAGGTCAGTTCGGATAAGGTGCTAGTTCCTCAAGTTGAGTTGCGGTACGTAGAACCCAACAAGTCAAAAATATCGTCGTTGAGAAATGTCATGCGCTTTTGTTGTTTACTGGTACTGGCGCTGCCGATCGCGCGATGAGCCAAACCACTACCGTCGCTTTAGAAACATCAAACAGCGAAACTGATGGTAGAAGACAAGCGTGAGGACAGGGAAAGGAGGATAATTCATCCCACCAAACGTAGAAAAAGAGACGGGCAGAAATTAATGGTGTGGGCGTTGGTAGTTTTCTCGGAGGGAATCAGTAGAAAATCAGCACTAGGCTTGTTTTATATATTTACCCTCGGTTATAATGCCCATTCACATAGTTTTGAAATTTTGTACTAGTTCTTTTTTTCCCTTTACAAAAGACTACTGCATATATTATCTATCACTCCACATAGTATGTAAGATAAATTTCGATTCGTAGGTAACGAAACGAATATAACATATTCAATTGTGAAAGTGTCTATATATTTATCGTCTGATTTGGGTGTATATTATAAATTGGTCTTCACATGTTTGTTGAGTAATTGATGTGTGAAACCATAATTTATCTAGTTCAATTTCTCAAGTTTTTTTTCATCATTATCTAAATTACATATGCTCCCTCCATTTATAAATATAATGAGTCTTAGATTGTTTATAGTAGAGTTTAAGTTGAGGTGAAATTGCTCTATCCCTAAAAGTTCAATTACTTGATTGGAACAGATCACGTCTAGAGATGTAAATAAAGTAATAGAAGTAATGGTTGGACCGATTGTGAAATTAGTAGGTCAGCGATGTAATCAAATCTCTTATATCTGTGGATAAATGGAAAAGACCAAAATTTATGGATGGCCGGAGTATGTCACAAACAATTTTGCTATATATTTGTCGACAAATTTTCCTCCAAAAATTTGACATATGTAATTACAGTATAATCATAGTGTAATTACACTGTAACTTGCATGTAATTACACTGTAACTATAATGTAACAAATCTTGTAGTTACATGCAAGTTACAGTGTAATTACACTATGATTGTACTATAATTACATTTGTCAAATTTTCAAGAGAAAATTTATCGACAAATGTATAGGTGGTCCCACAAACAATTACTCAAGGGTGAGAATAACCGTCTCACCCTTGTAAGAAAATAATTGTGTCTTATCTTTTGAGGATAGTGCTAATAGTGAAGTGGGGACAACAATGCCTATAATAGTGGGAGTACAAGATGCTATATGTGAGGCACAAATTATATTATACTTGTAAAGTGATGTTGTTCCCTAACTCAGCGACCTTGTTGTGTTGTAAAATGTAACTCTTTTCTTAATTTTAATGAAATTTGGCCAATAAATTTCTGCATACCCAATGATGAATGTATTACAACTACGGAGGGGTTGAATTTCGTAAATATTCGGCTAAACCAGGCTCCTCTAAAATATGGAGAAAAGAAGTCTTATATATATATTTTTCTAAAAAAACCCAAATTTTGTTATAGAAATTTTTCCCTTTCAATCTAATTTCACTATTGTATCTACAAAATTTCTTTGATCCAACAAAAAAAGGAAACCCTAAGGGCTCCTGGGTGAAGAATGCACGGGGCACGGCCTCGATGTCTTATGTCTACCGGTGCAGACGCCCATGGGCCATGGCTAATCGTGAACGTACAGGGACCACGGTGCACGCCACAGCCGGCAAGGTCTAGAGCAATCTAGAGGCATCAATCTGTTGAGCAGTCGCGTCCACCGAGAACACGTATGGATGTACGCACGATCGACGAACACCAACCCAATTATCTCAGCTGAAGAGGCGATCGATCGGTTAATGTAAGATGATCTCCGTTAAATCGTACGGATTTAATTAAGGGCGCAGATTTACAACACGATCGAACTAATTAACCACAAGCAAAAAAATTACATACATGCATGATGGTTACGAACGCGGCCAGCTGCGGCGAGCAGAATTGGTTTAAATCTGGCAGCCGCAGCAGCAGAAGAAGCAGGAGAGCGCGAGGCCGAGCACGACGGCCTCCACCACGTACATCACGCGGAACGCCACGGCGTCGGCCACCGCCGTCGCCCAGCCGCCGCTCCCGGCCGTCTTCCACCGCGACAGCGACCGCGTCAGCCCCGCCGCCAGCCTCGACGACGACCCGCCGCCGCCGCCGCCCGCCTGCAGCTTCCACCACCGCTGCTGCCGCCCGTGCACGCACTCCCGCGGCACCATCATCCGCCGCAGCCACCCTCCCCGCCGCCGCGGCGGCTTCTCCTCATCGGCCCCCGCCGCCGCCGAGCCGTGCAGCTCGACCTCGACGCCCACTGGCGTGTAGTGCCCCCGCCTCCTCGGCACCGCCGTCGTCGTCGTCATCATCCTCTTCACCCACCCTCCTCCTCCTCCTCCTCCCCGCCGCTGCTTCACTCCCCCCATCGCCGCCGCCTTTCCACCACACTCATCAGTCGCCGCCGGCGCCACCGCCGCCGCAATCTCGGCCTCGGCGCCCATGGCCGCCGCCATGGGAGAGGAAGAAGACTCTTGGAGGCGGAGACGTGCAGCGCAGGGACGGGACGAGACGAGGCGAGATGACCGGGGATTGGTTGGACACGGAGCAATATAAAGGAGACGAACCCGTCTCGTCTCGTCTCGGCTCGAGGAGATGTGATTTGGATTCGAGCCTGCTTGGCGCCGAAGGCTCGCGCCAGCCAACCGCGAGTTTATGCTTACTACTTACAACTCACCGTCAGCTGTCAGGGTCGTTGCCGGTTTGATCTGCAACTGCAAACCGCCATAAATCCGTGTAAACAAATGAAAAGCACGGAGTACTTTATTAGAGTTCGTGTTAAGATAAATCTCCAAGATTAATCTAATCGCACGAGCTGTACAGGTTCTAGAAGCATATTGGTATTGGCATTGGGCAGCAATCGATCGATCGGTTGCTGGACTCTGTTTCTGTTCGGCTGGAGCCCGGCTGGCCGTGACAGCAGAGCGTATATACGTGCAGGCCTGCATTACTACATACAACGCTACCCTGCAACTTTAGGTTCTGTCTCTCTAATCCTTCTCGCTGTATCATAATTCGGTGCAATTTTGAATACGTCCCGGCCGGCTTTGTTGGGTCCTTCTCTTCGGATGGAACGGTTTGGTCAAAATAGACAAAGGCTGCGTTAATTTGGGTGATAGGAAGTGAGAATGCACATCGTTTTTCGCGCGCACGCTTCCTAAACTACTAAACGATGTGTCTTTTGTAAAAATTTTCTATATAAAAGTTGCTTTAAAAATCATATTAATCTATTTTTAAAATTTAAAATAGTTAATACTTAATTAATCATGAGTTAATGGCTCACATCGTTTTGCGTATCTTCCTAATCTACTCAATCCCCTTCTTCTCAGACACACCCTTTAAGTGGTTTGGTTTGGTAGCCTCGAGCCGCGCCGATGATAACCGCTAGTCAAAGGCTCAAAGACAAATTGGGAGCAGTTGCCCCTGAAATTGTCAGTTACTTCCAAATTCAAATGATTTAGTACTATGAGTTCTTTTCTTCACATAATTTTCAAAAACTGGCGCCCCAGACAAGGCCAAACGGATTAAGACAAAATAATACAGTCACGCAGTTTCAGCATAAAAGCCAGAGACATGACTACATGAGAATCAGAATTAGAGGTGTATGACAGCCATCGACCCATTCGGCGCGCGTACCAAACTCTCATCTGGCCGCACTAGAAGCACACAACAGCTGCACGCACGTCTCGCTATCAGTCGCTGGACTGGCCATTTCCCCTCCGTTGATAAGGGATGCATTGCTCCCGCTAGCTGTCTCGGCCTCTAGAATTCCTGCAGACACGACGATACTGCCCATGCGATGCGATGCAATATGTACATCTGTTGCCACGGCCGCTACTGCCGATCGTTATTCGTTGTTAGCGACTACTAATGCTTGAGCAGCTGGAGCAAATGACTCGGTACGTAAGTGCAGGTGATACAGCTGAACGTGACAGTGACTGGTGCGAGTGCGATCGGTCTCTTAGACAGTTGGGTTAGGCAGATTGGCGTAAGGGGTTGTTCCATCTGGGTGGTGGTACTATGTTATGGATGTCAAATCTTTCTGCGTCTAGGGTTGATGATCAGGCGACTCGTGTCTGTATCTATGGTGCGTCACAACTCACAACGCACATCTACAGTAGAAACCGCTCAATGACAGCGATCGAGTTCATTCTAAATGGCACTGCAATAGCCTGGCTTAAATTCTAAGCTCCCTTGAAACGTATTGAAATATTAATTACATAATATTTTTCACTATAATTAAGTTTAATTTGTAAAATTTCTATTAAAAAAAGGAGCACCTACTGTATTGGATTTCGTGCACCAGTTAGTTTGAAGATATGATTAGTTAATTACTAAGTACTAGAGGAGTAGAACACATGTTTGTATTTTTGTGGTGATACCGAATAAACCACAGTGCACAAAATCAAGTCATGAAACAGAGCATGACAGCTGAAAGCATACAACTGAAGCATATAGGGGTGAAAACGGATCGAAAACGGACGGAAACTAGTTTTATCATATTCGTTTTCATATTTTTTTTCGGAATCGAAAACTCGGATACGAAAATGAAATCGAATATTATCGAATACAGATACGGAGCGAATACGAGACGGAACTAATACGGTAGCGAATATTTACCGGTATATAAAAAACCCCTCAAATTGAGTTTTTTGATAAAGGAAGAGATATCGCTTATTATTTTAGTTCAACATCTCCAATATTTATATTGTCAATTTTGTAGACGGTCCAAATCGATTTTCATGGTTGTTCCTCTAAGAGATCCATATGCAAATATGATTATTATTTTCTATTCCCAAGACCTTTTACTAGATGTATAACTTACTTACCATTGTGTAAATTGGAGATGTTATTTATTTTACTTCACATCTTCGAAACTTGTAATGTTTGTATTATACTTTAAATGCTTTCAAATACAAATGTTATAAACTACAAAGTGGTAGATCCCGTTGAGCTCTACAATTTTTTTATGGAACACATCTCCATCAAATGTCGTTTGAATTGTAGATCTGAGATTTTGTAAAAATTAATATGGTATATTATAATGAATATTTAAACCCTTAAATGACCTCAAATAATAAAATAGTCAATAATAAAGTTGTAGATCTCATCGAGCTCTACAATGTTGTTATAAAGTTTGTCTTCATCTGATTCCGTATGAAAAAGTTATGCATATATACGTGTTTTTTTTCTAAAATTTGCTCAATGTCTGCGGATATCCGAAAAAAATTCCGGATAGTTTCCGACCGTTTTCCGATTCCGACGGATAGTAACCTTACTGTATTCATTTTCGTTTCCAAGAAAAAAATATCCGAATTCGTTTTCGAATCCGAGAATTTCCGAATAATTCCGACCGTAACTATCCAAATCTAAAAAATGGTCCGGACGGACGGAAACTATCCGAACCAGTTTCATCCCTAGAAGCACATGTGAAAGGTGGAGCCCTAAAATCCCTTCATATATAGTACTCCTTTCGTGCTGTTGTACTACTGTATTACTTCTAAGCTGGCGTCTCTTGATTGCATTTCCAACCGAACTCCTGTTAAATCCATTTCATATGCTGGCGGCTGGTGAGAGACGTCAAGTTTTCTGAAACATGTCCGGTGTATACATGTCAATGATCGGTAAAAAGACGCAACAAGATAGCACCTCTTGTGTTTTTTCGTAATTTATTGAACCGTTTAATCTTGTTATTGCTTATTTCACATTTCGAAATTTCCATGCCGAGGAGAGGAGAAGAGGCGTGGAGCGTGAGGAGACCGTTAGCCGATAGCTGCAGCAGCCGGAAAGCAACAGCAAGGTCGGAACCAAAAATTTTCAGACCAATGCGCGAGACCAATGAATGCAAGTTGCCATTTCATTTTTTTTTCTCTGGAAACCAAATCTCAAGTTTCTGTCACAAAAGGAAAAAACAGTTTGAACGCTAGACTCGAATCTTGGGCGAAGAAGTCGTGAAAATTCGGAATCTCCGACCAACCGGGTCAAACCAGACGTGCTCTTAACGTTCGTTTCGTCCCTCCTTTGCTGCTACTCCTGGCTAGAAACATGCCAGCTGCTGGTATTGGAAACCTTCAACGCAGATGAGCATCGAATCAGTTGAGCTAGTAAGCACAACAGCTGCTGCTTCCTTCAGGCTTCAGTGCAATAATCTCGAGTGGGACTACATGTCTCTGAATGAATGTCGGTGGCCGGTGAAGGGAATTCTAACCGCTGGCTGAACGACGGAGTCGAGGAGATTCGTGGCCGTGTCATCGATCTCACCGGCGAACGCATTGCAACCAAGCGAAACCAACGGGCAGAATGCAGTGGGCAGCTGTGCACACGCATCAATCTGAACAGCAAAAGCATGCAATCCGGCCAATCTGTCGAATATATGCCCTGCCTGCCTTACAGATCGATAACACGTACGCACGATGGTTTCGATGATTCCTCTGCAGGAGATCTAAGATGATATGATACTGGTATTACCTACTTTGTTCGTCCCGTCTCTTTCTAAGATATTGTTATTCTCCCCGCAAAAATAATAATAATAAGATATTGTTATTCTCTCGCCTTGGAGGACGATTTGGATGCTAATTCCTCCCCCATTTTCCGTTCTCGTTTCCTTGATGGGCCAGCTGATATGGGCTTGTTATGTTCAGTTCAATAGAATTAGTTGTCCAGCCCACTAGTACAGATAGGCAGTAGAATTTTAGCCCATCGCCCCATCCAGCAAGCATCTGCGGCCTGGTCCTATACCCTTTCTTTCACTTTTGTCCACGATCTAGGAACAAAGAAGGTAGGATATGGAACCAAAGAAGAATATCCTTTTTAAAAATGCAGAATGGCTATAATTTTCCGCGAACCCATAAAACAATTGCACATCAATATATTAGAAGAAGAGAGCGGATTTTAGTTACACAACGTAAACGGTGAGAAGGCCGTTATGCAATGGTTATATGCCATCGAAAGTTTACCTTTTTTATTTTATAGCACCGAAATATACCGGTTCATTAATAGTAGCACCTAAAGTTCACCCTATTCTCATTTTTAACACTTCATATCGTGTGTGTAGTTAGGTCAATAACGATCAAGGCGGACGGAAAACGATCAAGAATTGACGGAAGTATTAAAAATAGGAATTGGGTGAACTTTAAGTGCTATTAAAATGAACCGGTATCTTTCGGTGCTATAAAATCAAAAACATAAACTTTCAATGTTATATAACCAAATTTTCCTATTATTATCTTTGTGTATTGAATGAAAAAATTATTTAGCAGTTTATTGGACCACTGTTTCCCCCCCTTTTTTTTCAACTCATGTTTTATGTGATTAAGCAGTGGGAAATAGCCATTGCGCGTTTCCATTTTGACATCTACCGTTCAACTTTCAAGAACACCACCTTTCTGCATATGAGCCACGAATTGAAGCATTAGTAGGTTCTGGAAAAAAATATATAAAAAGATACGACTACTCCTTGAGAGCCAGTACAACAGCATACTACAAGTCAGCTGTAAATACATATGGAGAAAAAAATAGAAGATAGAGAAGAAAAGCGGGCTACAGATTTATAGCCAGCTGCAGCACGGACTCCAATATATACATTATGTGTGTGTGAGAGGTGGGACCATATATTAATGTTGTAGTATATATTTATAGGTAACTATTGTATTAATGAACTATTAGATTGTATATAGATGTATTAGAGCTAATAGTACATTAAACTTGCTCTGGGTAGTAACACAAAACACAAAAGAGC